CGTATGTATGTGAATAACATCAAATTAATAGCAGGAGAAACACCAACATTTTATGAGCCTGAACCTCATCCTGACAGAGGGATGTTTCCTCATCGATAAATGGCAAATTTAAATGTATATATGAACAGCCAACTCGATTTATGTGCATCATCCATATCTACAATTTCTGTTTTTATCTTACTCAACAAAGTTCGCAGATTTTCATACTGTTAATTTGCCATAAAAATCAGTGTATACCAGCAGACTAATCTGCAAAAAACAAAAATGGCGACAGATCAAAACAGGTTAGTTGCTGTGTATAGGAGAGGTAGTAGAAATACACCCTCTGGTTGAGGAGGAAATTGCTGCTCTGAGTGTGCAAATTAGTGCCAATTAGTGGAGAAAATTGATTAGTTCACCTTTGACCGGAGGGAGGAATTAATCACTGCTGATTGGTTAGAATGCAACCCTGGACACTGTTCACTCCTCAGCAGCACATTTTAGAGTCACTGAGTTGAAATACTGATTCTAGTGGTTATTATTATAGTTGTACAAATTAGAAACCTGATATAAAACAAATTGGTACAAATAACTCTTTTTATTTTGGAGCCGCTAACCCAGATGTTACAGAGTGAATGAATAACTAAGTAACATAATCCATATGGATCCATGAGGTGATTTGCATCTTTAAAATAAGATAAAAAAAAAAAAAAACAGGGTGAGCTGGTTTCAGCCTCCTGTTTGTTCATACTGGTGTTTTCCACTTGCTCAGCACTAATGCTCTCTCCACCTCCACCTGTTCGTTGGTGTAATCTAAGGTGGAATGGCGCACAGCATTTATCAGTGCGGATCGATTCATGTTGATCAAAGCATCTTCCCACGTGCAGCTTTGTGTATAAAGGTTTTGTGTGTCGAATGTACTGATAGATTTAAGATGAGGCAAATCTTGCAAGAGCTCTTTGTCTTGTCAGGTTTTCCTCCCTGATTGTGTTCGTTCTGTTCATTTTTTTTTTTTTTCTCTGCCTGTCTCTCCTCTGGGAAGCCTCGTTCTCTGTTTCTGTTTTTTTCTGTCTGCTCTTTCTGTTTTTCTCTGCCTGTGTCTCTGTTTTGTTCTGACTGCTCTCTCTGCTTGTCAGTCTGCTGCTCTCTTTCTGTCTTTCCCCCTCTCTATTTTTCTCTGTCTCTACTCATATTTGTCTCTGTCTCTCTCTCTCTGTTTGTCTCCGTCTCTTTCTGTCCGCTGAATGTTTTCTTTTTCTGTATGTCTCTTACCTGTCTCTCTATGTCTGTCCGTCTCCCTGCTTCCGTTTCTGCCTCTCTCTTTGGTTGTTGGGTTCTATTTCTCTCTGTATCTGACTTCCTTTTTCTTTCGTGCCCACCTCTCTGATTCGGAGTCTTGCTCTGCCTCATTCCTCTTTATCTCCACCTCTTGCTTTCTGTTTTCTGTCTGTTCGCCCGCTCGATTCCTCTTTATTCTGTCACCGTCTCTCCTCTGCCTGTCTTTCAGACTGTGGCGTCGCTGCTATCTTAATGTTTTTGCTGCTCGGCTTGTGTCCAGAAAGTTATGGGGGGGCTAAGTGTTCGTACAGCCAATGGCAAGATGAGCCGTATAAAAGCACTGAGCTTATAGACGTGATGTATGACACCCTACGTGACTGCTTTGGTAAAGAAGCAGCATCCTACTGCAAGGACACAGCCCTCTGCTGCCTGCCTGCCTGCCTGCCTGCGCGTGCGCGCGCGTGTGTGTGTGTGCGCGCCGCGTAAATTGTAAAATAGAAATTAAATCTCAGTGCCAAGTTATCTTCTGTCCTTAGCTGCTGCACTGGAAGAACCATTGCTTGCATGTGTCTGTATGTGTGTGTTGGCCTTGCCACCACGTTAACACTTTGTGTCCTGGATCCCCCCCCACCACCACCACCACCACCCTCCCCATTTTTGCTCTGCAGTTGCCATGGGAACGCACCAAGAGCCTCCATCATGTGTCTGCGCCTGTGACCACAATTAAATATTAGCTCACAAGCCCTGGCTTTGTGTGTTCATGTGTTTATATTTTTTCTGTCCTAATTTAGCTTTTGATCATGTTGCCGGTGCTGTGATGTGACGCTGAATAAGAAGCGCTTGTCAAACTCTCTTAGGCTCAGCTTCCACAGAGAGTTGTCTGATTCAGTCTTGCAGAGACACACAGGAGTTGAAACAGACGGAGAGCAGGAGGTGAAGATGGAGTCATTATACGGAAATGTTTGATTGATTGTATACTTCGATCTTTTTCCTTGAATGAATGAATTTGAGAGCTATATTCTCACCCCCCAAGAAGACCACATGTTGTTTTACTGTACATCGAGTCCATATATTACAGGCTTGATATGCGGTAACTCAGCTGAGGTAAAAGAAATAATATCACTGTGAAAATATCCTTCAAGTTTTATTTTCCAAAAACGATAAATGTGAAAGAATTTGTTGTACAACATTGTTCCAGTGCCGCACTATTCAGGTAGTGTGTACTTAAACTCATGGTACAGTGACTTGTTAAGAAAATGTATGGTGGCCCTGAGTGCCCAATCCAATGCAAATTAAGAATACAGCTTCAAGGTAGTCAGCTTTAGTGAGTTTCTGTATTTGGTTGTGTTGGCTGTGTTTGCAGCGTGTTTCATTATACTGCATACTCTGTGTGTTGCCAAGTCAGTGAATGTGTTTTGTTTTTTGTTTTTTTTTAATGCTGTGCATGTGTTAGTCTGTGTCTCTCTGCGTGTGTTTTCTTAAGTTCCAAAGTGCCATACAGTAGTTTGCAGTGTCCTGACACAAGTAGCACAGCGGTGGTGGGACCAGGATGTTGTAGAGGTTCGGTGGGATCCTCCCAAAACAGAAACGTTACAGACATGTTCCCAAGTTCTCCACAAATAGCCATGAGTGCTATGGCAACGTCCTAAAGCAAAACACTGAATGCCCTGCCTGATCAATCATTGTAAGTCACCCTGGATAAGAGAGCCAGCTAAATGCTAAAGTGTAGCCAGGCTTGAAGAAGGAGGCAGTCTGTTCTCTGCAGCCTATTTAATGTTTTCCCTCTCACGGGATCAGTTCCATTTTAGACAAGGGCAAGGAAGTGGAACGAGGCTGTGAAGTGAAAGGGTCGACCACTGAGATGAACCCTGATCAAGTCAAATCAATGCATTGATCTGTCATTGTAGATATTCTGTTTATTATTACCTCCGCCAAGGGGGTTATATTTTCACGTATCAGCATGTCTGTTGGTTTGTTTGTTTGTCTGCAAGGTTACGCAAAAAGTACTGAACCAATTTGCATGAAGGATGGGGGAGGGGAGGGGAGGGACAGAGGACAGGGAAGAATCCATGAAATTTGGTGTTGATAAGGTTAATGGGATGGATCGAGGAATTTTTTTTATCGCTTACCTTAAATTTGCGAGATTTCTCAGGGAATAATGCCTTAATTTTGATGTAAAAAAATCAGACATATCTATGGTGTTGAGATCTATGAGTTTGTACAGTTGGGTGCAGATCCAGATCATAATCTGGATCATTTTCTTCCACCAGATCCAGATTATTATCTGGAAGATGTTGTTGAATGAAGAAAATGTTTGGCCTCGGTGGAGGTATGCGCCTCCACTGAACGCCATTCAGCTTGGATACCGCAATCAAGATCGCTATTGTTTTTACAATAAACAAATTGTTTTGTTCCACATTTTTCCAGGATAAGAAGTTGTTTTCTGTCTGATTTTGGATGGTGTCCATGTTTCTGCTGATTCATGTCTGAGGTGACGGGTGGGTGTGGATTAGTTCAACCTGACTGTCTCTGAGCTGCAAACAATATCAGCCCATGAACCAGCTGCAGTTATATTTTGGACTTTTTCTGACTCCATTTAGATTTGTTATCACAAATTTCTCACATTGTCTCGCAATTGTTATGATGAATGTCAACTTGTTGAGTCTTTTTCAAATATGTCACAGCATTTGATCTTAAGTTCCTGAAAACGTAAATACCTTAGATAACATTCCTTGTTGTAACACAATGAAATAATCAAAATCAATGTTACTACTTCAAGGTTAGGACTGGTATTGAGACAGTAGTGTGGTAATTATCACATATTTAATTTTGCTATTCATTTTACTGTGCCTGGCTATGATCACTAACAAGACCTCTCTCTCTTATGGTTTGCTTACTTACTGTAGGCAACGCAGGAATATCCATCATGTTTGAGAAGTGGTTGTGGATGTGGCGAGATCCTTTTTGATTTTGCTTGTTCTTGGCTAAATCTTTAGCGCTGCACTTTCCAGACATGACTTGTTGATTTTATTGTGCAGAAAATGAAGAAGGGGCTTGTTGTACATTTTAAAAAAAAGCTTAGTTCCAGACCAACTTAAAACTAATAGATATTTAACTAAGCATGGTCTGTGAGTGGACTTGGTCTTCCTCTTCTAGAAAATGCTTGAATAGATATCAGTTAGCTGGGTTCAATTGGCCTCTTCTTAATTGTTTATATTTCACACTTTCATTTTCATGATATATGATATATTACTGTGCAGAGGACGTCTGAGTCTTTGTTTTTTGGGCAGTTTTTGCATGTTATTCTTTATTTGTTCAGCAACATTAGATATTGATGGTCATGCCAGCTGTAGTTCATCTTTTATTTATTCCAAACAAAGATATGCAGCACGTCACTCCTGAGCCTTTTTTTTCTCTGTAGAAAAGACCTGTCTGACACAAAGTGTTCAGAACAACAAATGTAAAAGCTTTCATGAACTCAGCACCGGATGAATCACTGTTAATGATGCCAGTCAGCAGCACACACTTGAAGAGATGACATTTATATATATATAGCGAAATATTGCAAGTCATTATTTTGGTATTAGTCATCTGCTCTTAAAGCCCAGTCTACAGTCGCGCTCGCTGTGAGTCACGGCTCGAAAATCTTCAAATATGTCAAAGTATATTGTTCAAGCTGGGATTTCCTGTGAGAAAGTTACCCGAGAGGTTACCTGACTTTCATCCCACTCTTGTGTTTGCAGGCCTGAGACCCAGCAGAAAGCCCCAGTGAGTGCCCCTCCTCCCCCGCCACCCCCTCCGCCTCCCCCTGAGCCGGCAGGGCCTCCAGAGCCGGAGGAGGAGATCCTGGGCTCCGACGATGAGGAGCAGGAGGACCCCGCAGACTACTGCAAAGGTCAGAACCACACACACACACACACGCACACACACGCACACACACAAACAGACAAACAGACAGACCACGCACACTGAAGCCAGTCTGTCCCAGCCCATTACTTCCACTCTCCACATCTGTCGTCCAAGGCTCAACAATGGCTGCCCTGTCTCACACCGTCTCCTCTGTCTGTCTCTGTCTGTATTTCCTCCTCTTTCCCCCCTCCATCCTGACGGGATTTGCAGGGGTGTCGCTCTAGCCATCAGTGTGAGACGCTCAGTAGTTGTGACACCAGCATTTCAAGGTTGTTTGGCTGTTGCCAGAGAGGAGCGGCAGACTAGTTTCCTGCAGAGGCTCAGGATGCCAAAGGCTGCACTGTCTGCTCAGAGGTTCATTTTCATCATAACACAGCTTCAAAAAAATTTATATATATATTCGATCAGTTCAAATATACCATGATGTATTTTAATCGTATGCTATAATACATCACGAAGAATCCATTTTTGTAGCTGGTTTATATCTCATTGTATAGGAAAACACCTGATTCTTCAGATGTTATCTTGAAGGAAGCACGGCCACACTGTCAGACCTCACATGAGTAAGATGAAAGACTAAAAGAGAAGAGAAAAATCAAACCACTGCTACGTGTTTTGCAGCTTCCTGTTAAAAACAGTCGATTTTTAAGATTATATTCATAAACCCTTTTATTTGTTCTCTCTTTTATTTATTTATGGCCATTTTATGAACTTTAAAAACCTTATGATGAACTCTGTAACTACACAGAAGTGCATACGCTGTCGTAGCAGTGGTAGTAGTCTTTGTAGTTTTCTGCTTGGTAGTCTTGGCCTGCCCACTCTTCTTGTGTGTCTGTGCTATTTTACTTGAAACTACACAACTTACCAAGTTTGTGTTCAATAAAACACACCTACAACTGTGTGTAACCCTGGCAAGCTGCACTCCTCTCTCTGCCAGCTGGAAGTGTCATTGTGGCAAGAACAAAGAGGAGTTTGATGTCTCGTTCAGTTCGTCATATTCAGCTCCAACATTACAAACAATTACAGAACTTTTTTTTTTTTTTTTTTTAGTTCAGTATACAAGACTATACACTGTAGCTCAGCAGCACCTGTGTACTTCAGTGAGTAGTACTGCTTAGATAAACTGTATTTCTGATTCTATGAATTTCTATATAAGTGTGCATAAAAATAAAAATAAAGCTGCCACTGAAGTTACAGTGTAAATTTTGATGTCCTGTATACATAAACTTTCATGGCGTGGCCTTTCAGTACGGTCTCTGTCATGTTCTTTCTTTTTTTGTGCACAAGCCCAAAAATGTCAGACACAAAATGAAATATTTACTGTTCTTAATCCCCCATGATCACAGTCGTGACCCTGGTTTCCTCTGAAAGGGAACTTTTAGGATGTTTGCTGTCATAAAGTCAGAGTTACTCTAAATGATAATGAACCTTGCAGATAAATGTGCGGAATAAAAATGTTCTTTTCTTTCCTTCTTTTCAGTCACGCTGTTCAGTTTTGTAAACAGTCCTGTTATAAAATAAGCAACTGTTGCCACAGTGATGTTAGGATCTTAAAATGGTTTACACTAATAGAACCATGTAGAACTTCATCAATAATCTCATTAAGACCAAGATCTCTTTTGCTAGATAGAATCATGGGGCTTTGTGCTTTTTAACAATTTTATTTTGTCAAGACTGAGTTAATACAATATAATATAATATAATATAATGTGATATACTGTACTCATGTTTCCAGGACAGAGGCACAGTGTGTACAAAAATGCACAGTTGAGGATACAGTATGTTTTTATCCCGGACTGGAGTTGAAAGGGTTTCACCTGCTACACACGTGCAGCGCTGTATTACTCACATTTATCAAAGACAAGTCATATTTGGTCAGTTGTAAATAACACTCATTGTTCACTCAGGATGCAACAAACAATTATTTTCATTACTCGTTTAATCGTGTTGCCTTGTAAATACCAGAAAAGAGTGTAAAAATGTCCATCATAATTTTTCAAAATCAAAGGCGATAGTTTCTGATCATAAAATAATCTGCAAATTCTCACGTTTTAGAAGCTGGAAACAGCAAATATTTGGCATTTTCACCTTAAGAAATACTGTGATTAATTGATCAAAATAGTTGTGATTTACATTCATTTGCCAATTTATTAGATACACATAGTTAAAACTAATGACTAATACAAGAGCGTGTAATACTGTAAATCCTACCTTTAGGAAGTAATGTTTAGTTTTTGATAAAACTGCTTTTGCAATTATTTGATAAAGGAAAAATGTTCCACAACATACCATTATAACTGAAGCATTGTGGTGCTACGGAGATGTCCTGACCAACAAATCATATTCTCCAGATGTAAGATAAATTGCGTGCTTGGCACAGTCCCCAGCAAGAAATCATATCATCATTTTTATTCTTTTCAGTGAAAATGAAATGCAAGAATTACCATTCCTGCTAAAATTGTGTCTCATCACAATTGCAATGTGATTTTTTATTTTTTTTATTTTTTATTTTGCACGTCATTCAGTCCTAGTTCCGACTTTTTCCACAACACGTTCAAGAAATTTTTTAGTCTCTTAATCGTCACTTCACTTGATGCTGCAGATACCTGCCACTGGAAATGTTTGTGCTGTACTTTCCATCTGCTCCTTCCTTTTTCGGTTGTAAAACACTTCTCTCCTGTCACATGTTCTGTGTGTTTGACCTCCCTCCCTCTGCCTCATGCTCTGCCTCTGTTTGTTACTCACTAATGGATTACATGTCATTGCCTGGTTATCTCTCGCAGTCGCCTGTAACCTTCATCTTCTGTCTCTCTCTGTCTCTCTCTCTCTCTCTCTCTCTCTCTCTTTATCTCTCTCAGGAGGGTACCATCCGGTGAAGATCGGGGATTTGTTCAATGGGAGGTACCATGTGATCAGGAAGTTGGGGTGGGGCCACTTCTCCACCGTATGGCTGTGCTGGGACATACAGTGAGTCACACACACACACACACACACACATACACACACACACACAAATACACATTTATAGTACAGCCAGTACAGCATAGGCTTTTAAATTCTGCTTCACGCCGCTTTCATGCACATACACATTCACCACTAACACGTCATGACCCAGAAAAAGCACTCAAGGTGCACGTAGTCGTCCCCTTCACCTTGCTCTCATAGAAACACACACACACGACATCAAATAAACCACACATGCACCTGTTGACAGGATCTGGCATGTCACCACGACAACGGTTGCAACCCAGACCACCGTGTACTAGCACCAAAGCCGTCCATTTGCACTATGATGTTGTTTCTATGTTTACATGGCAACCAGGGAGGATGGATGACACTGTCATCAACCCAGTGTCACCTTTCAACGACTCACACACACATACACACACAAACTCAATTACACTAATGGCGGTCATAAACTAGTGAGTTGGAGATGTATTACTTTACAGTTAGCCCCAGTGCTTGACAAATGCTGGCCCTTGGTTTTATTCACTATGTCAATATCGACATAGAATCATTTTTCTCACTCTCCATTTGTCTTTTCTTGCTTCTTCTTTCTGTCATATATTTCAGATCTTTCACAACAGTTTTCATTTTTAATTCTTTCTCTCTTCCTTTATCTTTGAATTCATATCAATTTTAATTGATTTTCATTTGTATTACTTACCATATTCTGTTAATGTATTGTTCCTGTCACATTGTCTTATGTGTTATGTTGGCTGGTGTTTTGCACTTAATATATTCAGCATATTACAAAAATGCTTCCTATTTGTTGTTGACAGAGGTTTGCTTTAAAAGCAAACTGTAAAAGATAATTAACATTTTTTTGTCTATAAATTGTTGAGAAACATTGAGCCCAATATGATGTCTTCAAATTGTTATGAGCCACAGTCTGAAACACAAAGATATTTATTTTATATTGAGAGAAAAGCAACATGTTTTCACATTTGAGGAAACAAAGTAACATTTTGCATTTTCACTAATTTTGACTAATTGACTTTAACGATGAAATGATTGTCAAAATCACTGTTGATAATTTCTTGGTAAATTGGTTCATCAACTAATTGTTGCAGCAAAATCAGCAGCAGTTGTATTTGTTCTTAGAGTTACTGTGATATAATCACATGGGGCCACTCAAGTAGATTACAGAGTCACAATACAGTGACAAATATCTCACATGCATACCGTCAATTAGGAAACGTGTATATGTGGACTATGATAAGGCCAAAGCTGTGTGTCACTGGTATATCATTACATAATGTTGACATTAGTTCTTTGGGATAAAATGCCACATAGCTCATACATTTGCATTTCCAGCGTCAGTGTTGGCAGTGTGAATGGCCAGTTCAGGTGCCATTTTCATGTCTTTCACATAGACACATTACTGTAATTAGCGTTGCTTGCTTTAACAGCCTATTGGTTTGTGAGTCACTATGAAATGTGAATAATGTCTCTTTGTGTGTGTCTTTACAGAGTGAAGAACTTTGTGGCGATGAAGGTGGTGAAGAGCGCCCAGCATTACACAGAGACGGCCCTGGACGAGATCAAACTGCTGCGATGTGTGAGAATCTGAATCTGTTTGACTCTCTGCTGTTTCATTTTCCTTTGCTCTTTTTTTGCTTGTTCCTTTTTTCTTTGTCTTTCCTTTTGCCTTCTCCCTTCCATTTTTGCATCCTTCATCCTTCCATATCCCTTCCCTCCTTCTGTCCTCTCCTCTTTTCTTGCCTTCTTCTCTACCTCCTCGCTTCCCCTTCTTGAACCTTGCATCTCTCCCTGTTTGTCTTTCTGTTAATAAGAAACACCGACAATACGCTGGTCATTTATCTTGGATGGTGTGTGCAGAGGAGAGTCATCTTTGAATCAGTTTTTCAGCATCCTCATCTCCCACTTCCATCTCTGTTGTCTTCATCCTTTTCTCAGCTCTCTTCTTCTCGCTCCCTCTCCTCTCCCGAGTTTGCTTCATCTCATTGTCCTCTTGTCTCTCAGGTGAGAGAGAGTGACCCCATCGACCCCAACAAGGACATGGTAGTCCAGCTGATAGATGACTTCAAGATATCTGGAGTCAACGGCATACGTATCCTGATCAAGTGTGTGTGTGTGTGTGTGTGTGTGTGTGTGTGTGGGGGTGTGTGGCTGCGCTTTTGTGAGTTTTATATGTATGTTTGAGTGACAGCGATATGATAATGTGAGTCCTTGACTCTCCATCCCAGATGTGTGTATGGTGTTTGAGGTGTTGGGTCACCACCTGCTGAAGTGGATTATTAAATCCAACTACCAAGGTCTGCCGTTGCCGTGTGTCAAGAGCATCATCAGACAGGTGAGGAGTAACACACACACACACACACACACACACACACACACACACACACACAAAATCTGGATAAATTATGGATCTAACCACTGCAGTCCAGTATTTGTAAAATCACACAGATTTTCATAAGAGTGACGGTGCATTAGAGGTCAAACTAGGTGACATATTTATTACATGAATGGAGTTGCATTCTTACTTCAGGATGATATTTTTACATTGGTAATATTAATAAAGATATAACGCACTCAGTGTGTTTTACACAGAATAGAAAAATATCATATACTGGCAACTTCACTGACTGTGCTGTATTTGTCATGTCAAACATGTGAAGGGGTGAGTCACTTCAATAAATAGCAGGCGAACAAACTGTCATAATATGGTACTCTCCAAATAGAAGTTACAAAATGCTAAATGCTTAAAGGAGTCCATGGTGTGTTTATTAACCGTCTCTCTTCTGATATAAGAACCATTTAAACATGGGAATCAATGTGGCAGATCATTTGACATTACAGTAGCTATGTCAAATGGTTGAGCTGATGTTTTTGACAGGATTTATTTAAAAAAAGAAAAAAAACAGATACACCTACATAGTTGGTAGTATTCCACTTCTTCTGAGAAGCAGTGATACTTTATTTTACTTTATCTTTGAGAATTAGGAATTAGAAAAAGTAGGTTTGTGTTTCATGAAACAGGCATGTGCACTGTAGTACAGAGACATAAAGTATTTCTATCTATAATTCCTTGGAGGTTAAGAAAACATTTGCTTGCTTAGAGATGGACTTTGAAAGACTAGGAGAAAAGAGAGGAAGAAAAAGGTGGATAAAGAAATAAAGAAATACATGTTAAGAGTAGAGGACAGACTCAAGAAAGCACAGTGCTAAGACCTTCTAATACAGTGCATGGCATTGTGCACTTCACACTTCACACTTCAGTACCACTGCCTTCCTAATAAGACGCAGGACTTTCAGGCATTTTCCCCTCAGCCACCTGATGAGCATGTGAACTCGCTGAGCTATTTCAGCGACTGCCAGCCTCTCGCTGCTCAAAAGACGAGCCGAAGATGAGTAGAAATTAAATGAGAGTGTTTTTCCGCTTCAATCTCAAAGCCTCTGGACAGAAACAAATGAGAGAAACAGTGAAACAAAAACATCAACAGCCTTTCCTCTCTGCCCTCACAGAATGGCAAGCATCGGAGGAATGGCTAATTTGTCTCTGAGAAGGAGAGTGAAGAATACGAACTGAGCAGGCCATCTACGATTAAACAAGAAGTGTGCGTTTCTGTAATAAAATTGTGTCTGTTTATCTGATTGTGTTTGTAGGTCCTGCAGGGTCTGGACTACCTCCACACAAAGTGTAAAATCATCCACACGGACATAAAGCCAGAGAACATCCTGATGTGTGTAGATGATGCTTTTGTCAGGCGCATGGCGATGGAGGCAACCGAATGGCAGAAAGCTGGAGCCCCGCCGCCGTCCGGATCAGCAGGTAGGGACACACCAACACTCGTGTTTAATATATTTTAAAGGCATAATTTGACATTTGTTTTCTTGCTGAGAGTTATCATTGTCATGTCTGTTAGATGAATATGAAGCTGCAACTGGTTATCTTACCTTAGCTGGAAACAGGGGGGGAAACAGGGTGCCTGGCTGTGTTCACAGGTAACACAATCCAAAACAAGAAACACTCTGGCACATAACCTCCGTAAAACCCAGGTGGGGGTAACAAAGTAAGTAGAACCCCTGCAAAAGACTGACAGGCAATCTGGTGAAACATTTCCACTTTTTCAACTGGGATATTCTACTAAAATATGAGGTTGTACAGGCATTTTTTCTCTGTTGGTGTGTCACCTTTTTCCACTTCTGAACTGATTTGATGTTTGAGGTTGAGCATCCAACTGGAATGCACACTTGTTTTTCCATTTTTTTGATTATTTATGAAGGTTTTCTCCCAAACTTTGCTTCCAAATTCCAAAAGTGAAATAAAGATAAAAAGTAGAAATGTTGGCAGCAGCATAGCTCCGCAAAAACCCAGTATGCAGTGAAGTCTGCTGGTTTGGTGCTAAGCTTTTTCATCTAAATTTAGAGAAAGGAGAGGCTTATAATGCATGTAGCTGGTAAACATATTTGATTTGAAATCTGTGTTTATAATAAATGGAATAAATTATGAGTCATCAGTACTGTAATACATTTTTTTTTCCCTCTAAACGATCATGTTTAATATTGAAATGCGCGGTAAAGAAAAAGGATTCTCACAGAAGCCTTTTGTGCTTCTCGCTACTTGCCTTTTTTTTTTATTCTTTTTTTTTTTTATACTACACACACATTTTCTCGTCTTTTCATCTCCTGTCGCCAAGTTCTGCCACTGAAACAAATCAAGTTCTTAAAGAACAGTCTTGACGAACTCGACATGAACCCTGTCCCCTTCGTGAACCCCTCCCCATCCTCCTCTTATGAGCTGTCAATTGCTTGCATCAGCCAATAAAGTGTTTTTGAGCCTTAGGGTCACCAATTATACTTCTTACATTTCTACACAATTAAAGTCAGGCACAAAACCTTCAACTGTCAAAAGAGAGGGGTTCAAATATGTCTGTGACTGAAGAGACAAAATGAATAAAATGTTTTGTCATAAACACAAGAGCAGAGGTGGTTAATAGCAAAATGTCTTTTAATATATGCTTTTACTGTTTGAGAAGACAATATAAACAAGACTGAAGCCTCAAAGGTAACATATTTTGGGATGTTTGGATTAAAATGAGCTTATTCAGGAAGATTTTTGGTGAACAGAAAAGCTGAGCTGCTAAACTGGAACATCGGGAGTGCTGTAGTTGACACTAAAATCAATCAATCAGTCAAAATGTTTTTGTGCACCACCGTATCTGTGATTGTACATATATATACATACATATATATTAAAGACTGATCATTTTTGGTCAGAAAATATGTTTGGAAATGGACAGGACTTATATTTATATTAAAGGTCCAATATTTTACACTTTTACAGTGTTTTATTGGAAGTTTTGATATCTATATAAGAAGATATATTTGTGGTTTTTAGTAGCCTACAAAAAACCATCTCAGTGTAGTTTCTCTACTCTCAGGCTTCTCTTTGGAGCTGTAGTAACGAGAGCTCGGTAAGCCAATCAGAAGAGAGGAGGCTCTGAGCCTCTCTTCTGATTGCCTCACTGTTTTCAGACTGATCAAAGCTGATTGCAGTTTAACACTCAGGGAAACCAAACCCTGCAAGGTTGGATGGTGGGCTGATTGCTTTGTTGTGACATCACAAAGTTACAGAAGTCCTCACGGCTCGTTTTAAGGCTCAGTGTCTGAATACAGGCTGTGTGCATTTCTCTGTGGACTGAGAACTTTGATACTTCCACAGTATTAATATAGAACCTTGACCTGCTTTATAATAAAAAAAAAGACATGGACATCTACCTTTATACAATGTGGGACCTTTAATTATCACTCTACTGTTACTCTTTTGAGGTTTCTTGATTCAAGTGAAAGTGGTCTGAGAAGAATAATAATTAATATAATGGATCTGGAAAAAGCGTGAAGATCTATTTCTTCATTTGTTTGCAAATTTCTCACCTCACCTATGGATTCTGTATGTATCAAGTCTTTAATGGGAGAGAGAATACATAACCTAATGATTTATCATCCAGGAGAGTAGGATATTGAACGTAGTGTTGAACTCCGTTGTATGACGCATTGACGTCGGTGAGACTTTGAAGCCCCTGATTGTTGTTGTTTTTCTTTCTGTCTGTCAGTTAGCACAGCCCCTCAGCTCAAACCGGTGAGTACAACAGATGTGAGTATGAAATAAGAGAAACGCAAACACACACAAACATAAACACGCACGCAGACACAGAAACACAAAAGTGAAAAACAAGACAGATGCCTGTAGAGCCTTTCAAACTGTTCGATGTGTTTGTCACAATTGCTAGGGAGACAGGGAAGATACTGAGTGCACCACAATATTAAAATGTATAAATACTCACAATGCCTAATTAGCATTTTTTTGAATAGTACATAGAACGTCAAGAATATTGTATTACATGCAGTTTCTTTTTCCATTTCCCTATCAGACAAATTTTATGAAAATTAACTATGACAAAACATATAGTTGTTGTCCTGTGAAAACTATGTATCTCCAAGCTAAAAAAGAAGAGATATGGCCCTGTTTTCAGGTTTTCTGCTTTAATCTACTGTTTCTGTAACATTAACTATCTCTAATCAAATAAAAAGATGTCCTTTGTTATTGTTTATTAAGTTTATCACTTCCAAAACTCAGCTTAAATGTGTCATCAGGACTGCGTGGGTGTGGTTTGATTGAATTTGATTGACAGTAGTCTAGCAACATAAGCAAACAGCCCCACAGCTCTCGGCAGAAGGTGATTCAGATGTTTCTAAATCCTGATTGGTGCAGGAAAGAATTAGACTTCACCTTTTTCGAACTGAATCCCAGCCACTTCAAACAAGTGAGAAGAGCAAAAACAAATACAGAAATCTCTCATGAAGTCTCTCAGAAAATGTGTGTTCATGCACAACTCTATCAGAGTAACAAGCAGATGAACAACCAGGTTTTGGGTGCCTTTCAGAAGTAGAAGAATTTTCTGGAGCCATAAAGGAATCTTTTATCCTTTGGTTTAGCTGGAAAATTCAAAATTACCAAATTTTGAGCTGCATGGTTTTCATTGGACAGCAATGATATGCTCTATTTAAAATGTACAAATATTCTATCAACATACAGTGGAAGTTTTAGTTGACAAATCATATCCTACCATTCAAATAAGTATCAAAACCTTTTATTCCTTAAATGCCTCTTTTTCATGCTTTTGTTTTTTTGCCTCGCTTGTGACTCTCCCTCTCCCTCTTCTGCCCTGTGTTTGTCTCTCAGGTGGGGAAGATCTCCAAGAACAAGAAGAAGAAGCTGAAGAAGAAACAGAAGCGGCAGGCAGAGCTGCTGGAGAGGCGGATGCTGGAGATTGAAGCCCTGGAGAGAGAGGCCGAGAAGAAGGAAGAGAGAGCCAAAGAAGGGGGGGAGAAAGGGGCGCTCGAACACAACCGGTCCTCGCCGCTGCAGCCACCGCCACCGGGTCCAAGCATGGCCCTGGGAGAGAGCGACGAGGATGACGATGATGAGGAGGACGGGGAAGACGAGGAGGAGGAGGGAGGAGAGAGGGAGAGGCCCATTAGGTTGACTAATCATACGTGTGAGTCATGTGATCCTGAGTTTTCTCTAATATGTTAAATACACGAGGCAGATGATTTGATAATTGATAATAATTTATTTGAAGAATGATCAGTGCCACTGTGCTCGTCTGTGGGAATCCTTCAGACTGAGTGAACTGAAATCACATGATCCCCTTAAATTTCTCTTGAAGAGATTTTTCTCTACACTGTACAGTGTAGTGTCCAGTACATATTGTGCATCACCATACTGCCGTCATGCTCGGGAGGCTTCGGACCCCTTAAAATAACCCTAGTTTCAGTGAAAATCAAACAACAATTCAGATTCAGGCTAGAAAAAAGTATCCTGTATTTCACAAGAAAAAAGATTCAGAAAAAAAAAAGTTTTTCTCTTATTCCTTTCGTTTGATGACCCCAACCTCCAAGTTGGGAAACACTTTTCCAGAGCTTCATTGAAATCACATGCCACAAAATGTCCTGGACATTATTTTATACACATTTATTCCCAGGATTAAACCTGGCATATTTGTTTTGGTTTTTTTTTTTTATTTTCTAATTAGAATTTAAAATGAAGTCCTGTGGATTTACCCAGTATTTGGCACTGCAACATGTATCTGAATGATTCTACAGTAGGACTGAAGACTCTAGTGCTGTTTTTATTGGCCTTCACGCAAGTGTTTCATGTACATGTTTTATTATCATCATGTTCTGTTTCTTGTTTGGTCTAAATCCCGGTTCAGAAGGTTGTTCACCCTGCCAAGAATACAGTTTAGTACAAACTGAAATTGGAGTTGGGCACTTCATGAGCCTTTGGCTTTTTGACATTTCCTGTCACATCTATTTTACTTTTATGCTGTTGTATAGACACAGAAAACTAAAACTGCCATTTTCAGTGAATTTGCTATATTTCCTCCTTACGGCGTTGTTTCCGACCTCTGAGTCACCACCTCAGCTTTGATTTGTTTAGCAGAACTGGACTCAACTTTGTCTGAACTTTAGCTGTTTTGTCTCAGCTTCAGCGAGACAAGTTGGCAATTCAGTCTGATTATCAGATTAACACTGTGAAGATTTAAAATCTTTTCTATTGGAAGCTTAAGGTGAAAAGTGGCGGTTTCAGCCTTAGGAAGCCCATTTTGGTTGAATCCTGTCTTTGACTCGACTTCTTGCACTTTGCATTCACTGACAGGCACTAGTTTGTTCTTTTTAGTTCATTTAACCCTCTTGAGGCTGAGGCATTTATCATTAATTTAAACAGTGGTGTACAATAACTTCTTATGCATACCCTTTGATTTAAGATAAAGCAAACATCGGCTCAGCCTGATCACGTGTTCTCGCAGAATGTTGGTTGAAGCTTTTAATTCAAGTGAGATCCACTGTGAAGGAAAAGTGATCAACATATGTAGGTTAGCTTGTACTTTTTTTTTTACTGTATTCAGGTTGTCAACAATCAGAAAGATGATTTTTTTTTTCCAAATCAAAGCAGTGGCTTTTACAGATCTGCAGCATGAGTGAGCGTGTGAGTACGTGTATGCAGCTTTGTGCAGTCTCTCTGTGAATGAATAGGAGGTGGATTGGCTCCAACAGCTCATCCCACACTAGACCCACTGTGTATGGGAGGCTAGGCTGATTCACAAAAAAACACACACACAAAAAAAAAAAAACAACACAGTGTCTCTCCGTCTCCCTCCTCCACCCTCTGTCTCTCCACCTTCTGTCTCTTTCATTCTTGTATTCTCTCCTTTACCTCCTCTCTCATCTTTATTCGCTTCTCATGCTGTTTTCCTCTCTGCCTACACTGTCTTTGATTGCGCTTATATCTCCTTCCCACTCACTTCCTCTCTTAACTGTTTTTCCTTATCTCTCTCCATGTTAGGCGCAGCACCTCCCCAGGAGCAGAGCGAGGTACCCCACATCACTGATGACGACCCCGACGAGGAGGAGGAAGACGACGACGATCCCACACCTGTCGCTGAAAAAGAAGCCCCCATTCCTCCCACCTCGGAGGAAGGTAGTGGAGAGCCAACACAAGCAGATGTGGAGGAAGAGGAGGGGGAGGAGGAGGAGGAGGAGGAGGAGGAGGAGGAAGAGGCGGCATTGAAAGGGACAGAGGATGAGAATGAGGAAGAGGAGGCGGAGGAGAAGGTAGAGCAGGAGGAAGAGGAAGAAGAGGAGGAGGAGGAAGGGGAGGAGGAAAAAGAGACTGAAAGAGAGGAGAATGCAACAGAGGAGCCAAAGAGTGAGAGAAAAACAGAGAAGGAGGCAGTGGTGGAAGAGGAGGAATCAAAGGAGCAGGAGCAGGGGGAGGATGAGGAGGACGAGGAGGAGGAGGAGGAGGAGGAGGAGGAGGAGGAGGATGAGGAGGATGAGGATGAGGAAGACGATGATGACGACACGACCACTGACCTCGTCACAGAACACACGTCCCCTATCAAACCCCACAACAACAAAACCAATTTGGCCAAAACCAACGGTCACGTATTGTTGGGTTCTGAGGGACTGAAACCGAACCCTGGCACCCCTCCGCCCCCCTCGCCCACCCCCGAGCCCCTCCTCTGCCCCCTGGTGGAGTCTGAGCTCAGCTACACAGACAGGGACAACTCTCTCAGCTCTGGTTATGAGATGTATAATGGCGAGCTGTGTGAACCGGGGTTGACCAACGGCTCCAGCGAACGCCATCTGGGCACGATGCCCCTCTTCCCTGACTTGCCCCTTGATCCTGAGCCGGGAAACCCCATGCCAGTTGGGACGGCAGACATCGGAGCAGGACCGTCGCCCAACAGCCCCGCTGCTGACCGCAGTCGTACTGTGTCATCCTCGAGTACGGGAGACACCCCCAAAGGTGAGACATGGTTATACTGTCTACTGTCGAATGTTTTATATGTTGCTGGGTTTTATCATCGCACTTCTACTCATTATATATATATTCTTTTATTTAACTTTATTTAATTCGCTGGTGTTTTATGATCCCTGATTTTATTTGCTTTGTAACTTTGTTAAGTGCTATATAGTTTATTTTTAAGTTTATTATTAGTATTATGTTACTATGTATTCACACATAATTACAGATTTACATACTTCATCAAAACATTATGGAGCCCCAAAGTGTTGAGTATAAAATAAATAATCACGTTAAATATATAAATGAACCAATAAATTGTGAAATATTATGTCACAATTTCTATTTTCATAATAGGAATTTTAGACATTTTTGTATTAGTATTGTATTGTATTAGATATTTAGTGTCAGTTTTTATTTCATAATGGCACTTTAATATAAAACATTTTTTCATTAGAAAATTATATAGATAAATGTGAAATGTTTTAATAGGAATGATTAAAAATGATGAAATAACATTTCATATGAGTTCATTTTTTTTTTTTTTTTTATAATTTTATAGGTTTATTTAGACACTACACAGTTTATTCCTGTGATTATTTACATGATAATGTATTTTAGTTTATTTAATATCAAACAGTTTAGGGTTTCATATTCAGTCATATTCAATTGTACAAAAAGATACATTTATAAAAACATATACACAAAAATATGTTTTAAAATATGGACGCGGCACAATATCGATTGGATACCACCTATCGATTCTATTCATCTGTAATTTTTAAATCAGCTTTGATCAACAAATGATTTTAAGCGGCCTGAATTCTTCTGCCAGCTTTTACCAGGTCTCCATTGAAAATGAAATTTTGCTGTAACTTGAATGGATAAAGAACAGAAAAAAACATAATGGTAAAAGGTCCACAGTTTGATAAGTTTGAAAACATGTCTCAGCAGGTACAAACACATTGTGAGATAATAAGATGAACCTTGTTTTATCGACACATTTTCTCAACCAAGTTATTAATTTCAAGTCTGTTTTCCAGTTCAATAACACTCTGAATACATGTCATGATACTTGCAGTGGGTTCTCATATGACACGAGGCCTGGAGAGTCCAAGGCTAAATTTCTCTTATTTGGATTCCTTGTTTAAAAAAGCCGAAGAGTCCCTGGTCTAGAATAAATGTCTATTAGGACATTAGAGTGTGTGAACTGTTCTTATTTTCGACTTATTCTATGCATTAACCCTTTATTCTCTCGCTCTGTTCCCTCTCAGTCAGGGCCAGAGCTGCAGACCTGCTGATCAACCCATTAGACCCACGCAACGCTGAGTCTATTCGAGTCAAAATTGCTGATCTCGGAAATGCCTGTTGGGTGGTAAGACACAGTGTCTGGAATTTGATATTATGTGATTTGAAGAATATTTTTTTAATACACAAGGTTGAAGGCTTTTTACATTTGGTTTAAAAACCTGATGGGATTTAGCTGCAACCAGTGGGTCACAGGCAGGCACCACCGCAGGGGCAAAATAGTCATTTATTTGAATAATTATTGACATTCAAACTCTTAGTTCCTGTAGTTTGTAAAGGTTGGTTTCACATGTTTTGCAGAAATTGTTTTATTTGGATATAGACATGGGCTATGTCAGATAATCTGTCTGGCCTGGAGGGTTTTATGGGGAGTTATTAACAAAAACATAAATACAGTCATAACAGTACTATCTGGGAGGTGTGGTTACTGTGGGTCTCACAGCTTCTGAAGTCCAGATGTTTGAAAGGAGAGTATCCTTTGGAGGAGGAGGAGAAGAAGAAGAAAAAGTGTAACAATAATGAAAATATTCCTGTTCAATATTTTGTGTTTGTTGCCCCCTGCTCAGGGTCAATTTGCAGGCAATTCCTAAATGGGAAGCAGAATGGCACAAGGTTACATGATGAAAGACAAAAGATAAATGAGATTTGATTAAACAAAAACTTTTGTCTCATTTCGTTCTTAATTTTAAAAACAATAAAAGAGATTTAGAGAATTTTGTTTGACAATTGCCACTGACAATTTGTATACAAACTTACATAAACCTCTCCTCTCCTCTCCTCTCCTCTCCTCTCCTCTCTTCTCTTCTCCTCTCCTCTCCTCTCCTCTCCAGCACAAGCACTTTACAGAGGACATCCAGACGAGACAGTACCGTTCCATTGAAGTCCTGATAGGAGCCGGTTACAGCACTCCTGCAGATATCTGGAGTACTGCCTGCATGGTGAGGAGAATACATACATATTGTATATACAGTGCATTACATACATAAACTATTCATTTTTTAATTAATCATACACACTCAGTATAGACTCAAGTATTGTACTGCTTCTCGTGCAGGCGTTTGAGCTGGCAACTGGAGATTACCTGTTTGAGCCCCACTCTGGAGAAGACTACTCCCGTGATGAGGGTGAGTATTTAAAATTACGATTCTACACATGTAAAATTTAATTTCCAAATATGGAAACATAGAAAACTTGCCATTTGTTATATGTATGATGTATATAGTTGTGGACTGTAGGCTTATTATATTTGGGATATTGACTTGAAGATGAAAAATAACTAGTAAAATTAGGAAAAGTGATCAATATACCATGGGAATGCCAAAGCAAAGTGTCTTAAATGTTTAACGAAACTGTTCTTATTAAACATTGAATGTATTTTCATGTGACGATTCGTGTTTTTGCGCTATTTAACCTCAACTCGCTTTGCAGATTTTCTCCATTGTTAAGATACAGTACATTTCTGCTAACTGTGCCCTAACATCACAAAGGAAGTGATGCATTTATCACCACTTTAAATGCATTTGCTTAACTTTTAATGATTGCACCATGGAGTCTAATGCTCACAATATTCCCAAGCTCGTTCCCCAAACAAAAATACTAGCAGCATAAATACAGTACACAAAATAAATTAGTTTTTTTTTATTTTTATTTAGTTTTCAGTTTTGTGTATCACTCTCTGTGATCAACTCTGCTGAAAAGGAAGAATGTTCTTCTTTCTTGTGGAAAACCCAAAGATTAATAATCACTTTGGGTTGCAACACCAGTATGTGATTTTGTAAAAGTTTTGAGAACACAACACAAATTTAAGCATGTGTTTGTTGTTTTGCAAGTGTGTCACCTATTCTCAAAAGTGGGGCTATTGTTTCTTACAATGCATCTGGACAATGGACAAAAACTGTAATAGATCAATCCTAATTGTGTTTTTAAATACAACGGCCTAGAGTGAGCTTAGTTAAAACTAGCCATCCCTCTCCCCAAATCCCCCTATCCACTGTCAACTGTAAATCCTGTCCTTTAATTCTGCTGCTATGCCTCCACTCATTTTCACCCCCTGTACACCTGAACCTGAATTGCTCAAATGTTATAGATACACAGAGATCTCACACAGCTCCCGTAACTGTGCTCAGTATCTGGACTTTTGCTGCATAACAGCAAATGGAAACATTTAATGGATTAAGCTTAAGAGCAACATGAGCCAGTTGTCCTGTGAGTATATGTGTATCTATATTCCGGTCACATGTTACATTACAGTCCCTATATTTGCATGTAGACTCCCGTCATTAACCTCACTTATTCTCTTTACTCCGTCTTGTGAAATACAACACATTTCCAAACTGTGCACCCTCATCTTCATTTAACTTCTTGATCTCTTCATCCCCCACACATCTTTGATCTCAGCTAGCTCATTGTGTTATTTTTCTCATCGCATGTGGCACACAGTTAACCCAATTCTGCGTGTTTTGCACAGGCAATAAGCCAGTGTCAGTTTTGTCCTGACATCCTGATTCACAGGGAGACACCTTTGATCTCCCGCCATTGAGGCCTAATTGAAAATCTAACGATCTGCAATTCTGCATCTGAATACATGTCACAAGTCTAAACATATCATTCCATCACCTCTGCTGTGGGGGCACAGCTCACTAACATGGATTTTTCTCCTTTACTGTCTGTGACTGTCTCTTTTTTTCCTTCCTTTCCCCTCTTTTCTCAACCTGTCTCTTCCCTTCCCTGTTTCCTTACATTTTACTTTCATCTCTCCTCCTTCAATTAATTCCTCTCTTCCTCGTCCTTACCCTTTCTTTCTCTGTCTTTCTTTGTCTGCATTTTTTTTTTTGGCAACCTTGTTCCTTTTTCCTCCCCCCCTTTCCTCCCTCCCTCCCTCCCACCTCCCTCTCTCCTCCGTAGACCACATAGCCCACATCATAGAGCTGCTGGGCTGTATTCCGAGGCACTTTGCACTCTCCGGAAAATATTCCCGGGAGTTCTTCAACAGAAGAGGTAGCGCTGGACAGAGAGCTGGTGGGACTGAGGCACACAGATATCTAAGGTGGACAAAAAATGGACACTAGAAGAAAGTTGAGACGCCATGATTTGAATTTGATGGAAATTGGATTCACTGATTGAATTTGTGACTGAAAACAGTGAGAACGAATCCCCACCACTTCAAGGTGTTCCATTACTCTGTGAGCGTGTCCATGCTGTGCCCCAAGGCAGCAGTGTGTGTCAGTCCCATACAGCCTGTCGTGTTGATGTGTGTGTGCATGCTGTAATGCTGAACCGTGCCTGTTCCCTCTGTGATGTATGTGGTGGTGGGCAGACCACATCGCTCTGATCATGGAGCTCCTTGGGAAGGTCCCACGCAAAGTGGTCGCTGCCGGGAAGTACAGCCGAGAGTTTTTCTCCAAGAAAGGTAAACGACCCCATGGTTAATGGTTGGTTAGGTGTCGGGTAGGCCTTATGGAATAGCTCTAGAACTTCATAATAGTCACAAGACCTGGATGAAGTAGTGTTTGTTGTGTAGTAACATTTGCAGCACTGCCAGTCATTCTACATCAAGGCAGTTCAGATTGATTTCAGGTAAGTTGTCAATCACAGCAACAATGAATAATGAATTGTACGGCTGGGCGATAATTCGTTATGATAGTTCATTGACTTTCATTGGTATGTGGTATATGGTGTATATATTCATGGCATGTTCTCTTATATTGTATTCATGGTTAAGGTTTAGTATACTTTTCCTTTTACTTCCTGTATGGGAAAATTTGGATTAAAATAATTGCTGTATAAAAGACAATAAAAGTAAAAGACTCACCAGAAAACACTGGTCTGAACTAAAATACAAAACACACGAATCATAAAAAATGATCACAAACAAAAGAAAAAAGAAATAATCTTTTCCTAAATTTTGTTTTCCAAAGTAATGAATCCTAGCAAATTGGGAATTTAAAAAAAAATCCAGGTTATTCAAGGTTTTGTTGTAACTGTGGCACACAGTTAATTGCTTTGAACATCCACTTAATTATTTTACATGTAATTTTGTTGCCCATCCTTACTTAATTGACATTCATATACTTTGTTGTGATTGTCTTAATTATCTGGCACTGGACTGAGGCAAAATAGTCCGTTTAAATCACTACAGACAGAGGCAAAAGAAGAAAATGATTTGTCTAAATAATTTAAAAAAGTATTTAAAAGTATAATAAAAGTATATTAAAAGTATTATCTTAATATAGACTTGAGCAAACCAATAGATAGTTTTGCCTTTTTATATTCTTATCAGCAATTGCATTTTGTGAAATAATGGCCAAAGGAACCAATTAAACAAGAAGTAATTAGTAACAGAAAGTTAAAGTTAATTCACCATTTTTTTGTTGAGCAAAAGTCAAAACTTAAAGAACATGCTACTCTACTTTGGAAGTAACAATAGCGGTATTAATGATAGCAGTGATAGTGAAGTCATAATCTCGACCTAGAAGAGTAAGTCTTCACCTTACTGCATCTAAAGTCTTAAGTGTGTCATACACCTCACTGGTTCTGCTCATCTTTGAGCCTGGTAAGTGTATGGATCTGTGTCTGATACAGCTGATAACCCTTGCACTCTCTCATTTATTCTCTCTTTTCTTTCTCTCGATCTCCTTCCCTTTCTGCTCATATATTCTTCATAATGTGGCATGAGACCTGAATATTCTGCCTTTGATGTTGTCTCTCTATCTGAGGTCTGAGCCTGCACTTGATGTCTCAATGTTCTCCCTTTTATCTCTTAGCGCTCTGTTAATCTGGTCTGACTTTCTCGCTCTGTCTCACTGGGCTTCTCCTGTCTGCCATGCTGCCTTTAGCCGTGTGGTGCAATCGAGCGGCCTTGTTACCTTTTTTTTCCTTTGTGCACCCTCATTTTTATTGAACTTTCGGGAGGGAAAAGTTGGTACACTGATTGGAAACAAAACAATTGAAACATGTTCATACATACTCAAACATACTTTTATAAGAATGCAGATAGAAAGATCATAAACAGGCATCAATTTGTAACAAGCAAAGCCTCCGCTGTAAAGGTTTATGCTGCTGTCAGAAGTCACCTTTCCTAATCAGTCTCTTGTACAATGCAGTATAGGGGAAGTCTTGATAAATGGTTTCTTTTCCCCCATATTGTGCTCTGCTCTCCAATCAGTGCATAGGAAGGAGAGGTTACCATGGCAGCCATGATTTGAAGTGGACCTTTGGTCTTGATCACTCCCACCATTAATCATTCTCTCATACTTTTTTTTCTTCTCCGTCAGTCTTATACCCCCAGCCAATCATTTTCCCTCCACTCTTTAATAATGAACACCTTCCTCTCCTTGTCTGTTTCTATTACCGTGCCACTTCTCTGCCTCTTTCTATCCATATCTTGTCCTTTTGTTTCTGTGGTTTTCAGCCAAGACTCTGCAGGTTTTCACTCCACCATTACAGCTCCTCACTGATTAGCACAACTTTGAGCAGAAAGAGGTGAACTAATTAGTGGAATCAGTTGCTGTAGTGATTGGTTGGAGTCTGCAGAATAACGGCATGTCAGTTCATCCAAATGACAAAGAACATATTTTCTCACTTACCTCTAATGGGATCCAGCCATGCAGACATTTTTGGCCAGATTTTGAGAAATTTGCCTCTAAGACTTCTGTCACCACCCCCTAACAAAATAGAAGTGAAGGGAATTTTCAACAGTACAACTACTTACCAAACAAAGAGTCCCTGTTTAAACTGTTGACCGCGTGCTTTGATAACAAGGACCTTGGCAAGATAACAAGGACACTTGAAGCTGACAAATTTTCTAAATGGAATTTTACAAAACTGTGGGAAAATTAAATTAAGTTTATTTAACCTTTATTGCACTTGGGTGGAGGCAGAAATCTAAGAGATGAATATCTTAGGGCCTCAGCAAACAAAAAAACAAAAAAACTGTGTGCATGGCTAGATACCATTAGATTTTGAGTGTAAGCCTGTTGTTATTATTCTGTATTTTTACTTAATGTTAACAAATCCCTTGAAAAGACCAAAAATGTATAAGTCTGTCTCACAACATTCCTTTACATCCCTACCCTGTATGTGGCACTCAAGCCCTTTGGTTTCTACTGACTTAATGCAAAAATGTTTCACACATATATAGATTATTTTTTCTTTAAATGCTAAATAATTTCTAAAAACAAATTGTAGCTTTTGTCAAATGTCAAATGTGTCAAATAGTGCATTGTGTTGGGGACTATATTAAGCTGCTGATTGATATACATTTATTGCTCTCCTGAATATTTAAAGGAGCAGTGTATGTGGGACTGACAGTGTCGATGTTCATCCTGTGTAACGGTGTGGCTCACTGATGAGTTTTCAATAGCTTATGGACAACAGTGGAGCTCTATGGCTCAGAGGAGTAAACTATAGCTAACATACAAGCTACAGATAATACTTTGTTTCTCTTGGGATTTGTTGACAATGAGGAAATATATAGAATATCACCAGCCTTATCCTTTATGGAAGAAAATATGTTTTTTGAAATCTGGGTGAACTAACCCTTTAAGTATTTTCTTTTCTCCCCACATCCTCCTGTGCCCTTATTGATTCTGCTCCCTTTCGCCTTCTGCAGGTGAGCTGCGGCACATCACTAAGCTCAAGCCGTGGTCCCTGTTTGACGTGCTGGTGGAGAAGTACGGCTGGTCGCACGAAGACGCCGGACACTTCACTCACTTCCTTCTGCCAATGCTGGAGATGGTGCCAGAGAAGAGAGCCTCGGCCGGCGAATGCCTCAACCACCCCTGGCTCAACTCGTAGCCACAAACTCTGATCAGACATCCTCCTCCCCTTGTCCCCCAACAGTTAGCCCACACATCACCCCCTGGTGGCAGCCTGTGGAAAAACAGTACGGAGAGAAGCTGGAACAGTCAGAGTAGATGAGAAAGACTTCATCTTTCCTGCCCTATCTCACACATGCACCCTTACATGCTTATCTGACTATAGGTGTAACTCCTACACAGCTCCCTCCATCTCTTCCCAAAAGGAATGTAAAGACAAGCTTATGGAGATAAATTGACGTAGTAGCTGTGTCTTCCTAAACATCTCCCGAAAAAAGAATCAGATCATTTGAGGATGGATGCTGCTCACACCGTAAGAGGGAGAAGTCAGGCTCTGTCCAAAAGACATGTGCTGTCTTCTTCTCTTCTGCCGTCAAGATGTCAGCCAGTCCTCTTCATCTACCCACCTATCTCCTCCAAATTTTCAGTTTAACTTGTTTGGATCCAGTCTGGAGCCACTGACAGCTGCTGATCTTTTCAGTGACGTGAAAGAAAAAGTCAACGAGAAACCCAGCTGCAGCGCAGACAGCCCAGAGCTCCATCTTCCATGACCTTTTACATAGCCAGGGCCTCAAAGACAGACAAATGTGTGTGTGTGTGTGTGTGTGTGTGTGTGTGTTATTGTGTGAGAGAATGAGCGTATGTGCCTGTGCACAAGATCTGCCTACACAGACCCTTTTTTCCTCTCTTTCTAGACCAGTAGCCCCGCCTTCCCTCCCTCACCCTGCTGTGGAAGAAGCACCCACATTGGACTAAACGTTTACACCCTCATTTCTTCCAAGAATCCAGTCCCAAAAACTTCTCTTTACCTGTTTGGTTCCCCACTTCCTCCCCCCCTTAAATGAGCTGCATGCTCCTGCTGGGGGCCACCACAGAGAACTGGAGGGCAGCCAGTCCTCCAGGGGGCACCACACTGACAGTTGCCACTCTGACAGAGACAGATAGATGTCCGGGATGAGCAAAAAAAAAAAACAAAAACAAAAATATAATCCATTTAATATGGAGGAGGACTGCTTGGTCTTTAAAGACTATTTTTAAAATGCATGGAGAGACTGATGGATCAGCATGAACGGATATGACAAATGGACGATGGATGCATTATTTTATTTGTGCATTTCGCTGTTTTTTTTTCCTGTTTCATCCCCTCTTTTGGACAATCTGTTAGACAGAATTAAGTTAGGATATTTTGGTGCCCCTCTGAGGAAGGTCACTGTGTTACAACCCCTTGCCCCTTCAGATTTTGACATTCCTAAATCTTGGTCCTCTGCCATCATTCCTGACTTTTAGTCCCCAGAACAATTCTGTTGAGTCCTGCTGTGGCACGTTTACCTGATTTGATTGGTACTATTCCCCCTTTTTTCCCCTTTAGAGGGACCCTTTGATCCCTGAGCTTCTCCAGAAAGGGGATGGTCACATGGAGGTTGCACTTGTCTTTGTAGATGTCCTTCAGGGATTTGAAACCTTTGTACATAGAACTGAGATCTGGCAACGCCGATAAGCGACCGTGGACAAAGTTTCAACACACAAGCATCATTCCAAAAACACAGAGGCTGTTGTTGGCAGAACTTGACTTCCTCTGGTACAGTGAGGGGGGGGGGGAGGTAACGGCCGCCATAGCTGGTCCTGGAGGAATGTTCAGACTGAACCGTGCCACCCAGTGGCTGAATGAGAGTACTGCATCGCCACACACTGCTGCTGCTCTCAGTGCCAACGCTCCAAGACGTTCCACTATATCTCTCCACTTAATCTCTGTTTCTCTGTCACACACACAGACACACAAAAACTCGCATCATCACGATTAGTCCAGTTGCCTATTTTTCGCAATAAATGAAAAAAAAGATGAGTATAAGTAAATGGTGAGATATTTTTAAAAACTATTTAATTCATTAAAAAAAGAGGAAAAAAAAAAGAAAACAACTTTTCTCTGGTTGTTGTGACTGTGACAGAATCTCGTCTTATACTGAGGTGATTGTGTTTGTCTATTAGAGATGTTTTTATTTCTTTTGTCATTATTACTATTATTATTATCAATTATAATTATTATTATTATTATTGAAAAGATTTTTTTACACAGTTGTCACCTCTCCCCTCCCTCCTTACTTGAACAGTGCTGCTCTGTCTGGGCTCTGATGGTGATGAAAAAAAAATCAACAGTTTTGCAATAAAGGGTATGTGATGAGTTTTTTTGCACCAAAACCTCCTGATCTCACTCTTTCAGCCATGCTGACTGTTCTTCCTGATGACATTGACAGATTCGCGTCTCTTGTCTGTGTTTTTCATTGACAGATTTAATAAAATTGTAAATTAATGGATCCCGTTCCCTTGATGTAGTAAATTTTCTGCCTTGAAGTTGCGTCAGTCGACCTCACTAAAAGGGTTAGAAAATTTACAACTGGTCACTAGAAGCAGCAAAGGAAAGAAAACCTTCAATTAGCATTGAGTCCCTTTTTTATTGATATGTATCATTCAAGTGTTCCCACTATTTTGATGGAAAGTTATTAGACATGGGTCAGTCGTGAGTACATTTAGCTTCACAAGACTTCACTGTCAATGTGGTGTGTAAGAACAAATGTTACAGTACATTGTGATTCACACTAAAGCAAATATGGCTCATTAGACATTATCTAAGATGCAATAAAAGATGGAGTGATAGACATCCTGAGATCAATATTAGTCATTAAAAAGTAAAAATATGCTTTTAAGTATCAACTAGGGGTTTTGCAGTATTTTGTTTTACATCTTAAATCACTACAAATGGTCTCTGATGAAATCTGTGTGTCTGCCGTTGTGTCTGACTCATCCATTAGCACTCAATAAACTACAAGTGGTGCCTCATGTAAAGCGTACACGCTGTCATTCATTAGGCTCTGATAGAGGTACCTTGAAGTTCATTTCAGTGGGTGAAATGTTCATACTTCAACCAGACAGAAGATGACAAAATTCAAGTCAAAAAGTAACAGTGATGAATGTGGAAATACCCACCAATGTAAAACTCACTGAGGTATTTATGGCATCAACATTGCTGAAATGTAGTGATGAGACTGTGATCTTGTGATCCACAGTGGAATCTTGCATTGTAACCTTGAAGACAACCCATCGTCATGGCATTAGGAGGATATACACATTTACTGTATCTATTGATGTACAATACAGTATAGGATTTACTACGTGTGTGTGCACCTACAAGTGCACAACACAGCTGATCAAGCACAGATAGTGTGCTTGATCTGTCATGCGTGTTTGTGAGAATGTCTCAGAGCAGTGAGGCATAGTTCTTTAGCAGCAGGGGTTTGGCCAAATCCAAGATGTCCAAGTTCGGATCGAGTGACCTGCCCAGACCCTCCAGCACCATGATGGCAAACACAATTGAGGCAAAATTACTCTCCAGCTTCACCTAGAAAAAACAATCAGTAGCAACATCAGTAAGCGGAAGCATCATTGTTCATGCAGCCAAGACATTCAGTACTCCTTAAGTTCAAGTCTGTTAATGGTTAAAACGGTAAAGTTTAGTGCTAAAGTAGGACTATACGAACGGTGTTTATAAGGTTAATACATCAGCAACCACCTATTTGCAACAGAAGTATCACATCATGGTCTGTCAATGAGCTTTTATTCTTTTAACCAGGAAGTGACATACTTTATATCACAACTGAGCTGACAAATGTGTTCTGGTCACCCGTTAGGGGAACTCCACTACAAAAAGCAGCGGATTCAGTCACTGACAATAATAGTGCACTATAGTCAGTTCAGCCTGAAGACTAAGACTTACAGACTTGTTCATACATATACCGAATATCTCTAATGACAAACTGAGTTTACAAACAATCAGTACACTGTTTCCTGCATAAGGCAGATTCAAAGACCTTTCACTACAACATTTCAAATACTTAGGTAAACTTCTCAGGTAATAGAGAAAAGAGACTTGACTTTCTTGTGGTCACTGTTGTTCTTTAAAGCATAAACCAGTGACCTCCACAAAGCAGTATCCTAGCAACCTACACCATTTCTCTTGACCACTTCTTAAAGCTAAACCTTAATGACAAATCATGCTTATCGTAACAAGCAAAACCCAGAACTTGGTATTTGACTGCACACAAATCACTTTTCAGGCTATTTTATTTGAGAAAAACGACACACAATGAATATAACCTGCAGATATTTTACCTTGTGTTTGATGAGCAGACCAAAGACTCTGGAGAGCAAGTCGGCCACTTGGATCTATAAACACAACAAAATAGCATTCAACAAAACACATCAATAGTAATTAGTGATCAATATTTCCTACAGTCACTAGCCACTGTCACCGGCCAATTAGACATTTTGAATACACAAATACCTGCAATAAATGATGGATGGTTATTTGCCAAAGTGGATATTGGGAGAGAGAAATCTATCAGCGTTATGTTGATTTTTTAAACCATCTATAGCCTATATAAACTAAAAAAAATGGTTGGGTCTTTGGAAAACAATATAAACATATAAATATATGAGGATGAGTAGTACTGAATCAAATTTGTCTAAATTTACACTTCAGTTTTCTATCTGCACAAGGACAGTGATGACAGGAAACCAGTAAACTGCAATAATAAAGGAAGACAGCAATATTAAATCATAATAGAGAACACATGAACCACGACCACAATACAAGAATGAAACTGAAGGAAATGAATATCAAACAATGCTGTATTATTGTAAGAACAACCAGAAGGATGGCAAAAGACGATTTCTTTTCTAATGTCCTCTACAGCTGCAAATAGTAACATAACAATCATGACCATGATGGCAGCCATCCTCATGTGGCCCTGCATCAGAAACACAAACCAGACACAAAAAGAAAGCACAAATCTTGGTTTAATACCTTTCCCAGAGAGAGGGTATTACTGAGGGCATGGTCCACCAACTGGGCCATCTCCTTCTTAAACTGTGGCACGTCCTGGCACTCATTGGCTCGGGCATGATGCAAAATCAACTCTGCTACTCGCTCACCCTGAAGAAAGGAAATCAAAGACACAGTGGCAAGTACAGTTAGTCCAAACTAGAGCGTTTGCTCAGATTTCAGATTCCATTCCTTACTTGTTCTATACATATACATTTTCTATCTGAGAGGCATTTTGAAGACTTAAAGATTGGATTTGCTATGGAAAAGTGGGAAATTTACAAATGTGTAAACAAGCTGTAAAATATGCTCTGCTACATTCCTATGAAGTGAGATTGTTTTGGACCAGGTCTCTTTCAAAAACCACAAAACTTAGACTGGTCAAATCTGGACTAGATTACTGCAGAGAAGCCAGAGAGACTCTTAAAAACATAGTCTCAGATTTGTGAAACCTTTATTCTATTTGTGAAAATGCAAAAAAAGAAAGATTTGCCAGTTTTTTTTCACACCTAGACCACACTGGACCAGGTCCAGATCAAAAACCAGTGTACGTAGACTAGTGAAATCTGACCTGTCTTTCTATTCACTGAACCATAGTACCAGCACAAACTCTTAATCTACTGTGTGGCCGTTCTCTCATTACCTGCCGCAGCACCACAGCTGTGAAGACAGCCTTGAAGTTAGCAAGGTCATGGTCACTGAGCTTTGCTACGATGCCGGCGTCCAGCAACACCAACTGGAGAGGACATGGGTCTGGTCTAACACTGACAACCACCGTATCCCACAAGTCAGTGAGGGTGGTCTTACCCTGGGGCTCCCCTGTGATACCAGTACTGTCCCTGGAATCAGCAAGAGGCCCCCGACACTGGACCAGAATGTTCCCAGGATGGAGGTCCCCGTGGACGAAGTTGTCCACAAAGACCTGGAATACAGATGGATAAGTAAGGAAATAGTACTTCTAATCATGTGATAACATTCAGGTAAATAGATAAATGTCTTCAGAAGTGTAGAAACAATCACAGTATTATTTCACAAACAGAACATTAACATGAACAAATGCCAAAAGTGGCCAGTGGATTATGTATCTCACCATTTTCAGCAAGGTGTCTACACCCATCCTGGCTATTCTCTGCTTCACCCCCTGAGGAATCTCGGAGCTCAGGTAGTTAGAAATAGGCTCGCTCTCCTGAAAAAAAGGGCTGAATATAAATTGGAGAATGTTGGCCTTATTTATGATAATACATTATAATAATAATATTATTATTTCAACCAGAACAATTGATATTTCCTAGGAATCCCAGGCACTGTGCCAGATAGGTTGAGTTTGCCAAACAAAACAGTAGTTCAATAGTTATTGAAGTAAGCATTTGTCATTCTGATGTGTATCTTGATAACACGTTACATTTACAGTGTAGTTTATCACCAACATTTTTCATAGATTTTAAATGCTTCTGTGCTCACTTCAAAAGTTTCCACTAAAATTGTCCTGGTGATAAATGGTCGTAAGGGAGTTGGGAACTTGACATAATCCACATCACGGAAATTATCCCGGAAATGCTCGATGTTCCTGGCCTCAAAGCGGAGATCAATCTGCAATAAAAGTTAGATCAGCGACGGGATTAGACTGTTCATGCTGTCAATGTAATATGTTTTTTTCTTTTCAGATGATTCCAGACTGACATTTATCAAGACATAAAAAATAAAAATACATAAAAATAATTAAAAGAAAAAAAATATATATATACATGTATATCATTTAAGGTAAACACAAGAAACTTGTGCTACAGAAAATAATAATAATAATAATCCCACCTGTTTGGTCATGAGCTTCTCAAACTCCTCCACTATCTCATACAGACTCAGCCATTTGAGTCCAGGGAGGCAGTGCAGAAGCCAACTGCCTGCTTTCATCAGCAACAGGTCTATCTCCACCTGCCTCCTGATGCCTGGATGAACCACCTTAAATGCACCAGACACAATTTATAAACATCTACTGCAGGATGTGAAAAAATACACTACAGCGTGCTCTACTTAACATGGAGGCAATGTGAGATTTGGAGGGATTAAACAGGCTATCTTGCTACTGTCAGACTGACCTTGATAGCCACAGGTATCAGACGCTCCTTCTCTGCGCTGCACTCCTCATGCTGACCAGCTGGGTAGCTTCTCTCTTCATAGCCCTCCTCCTCACCACTCCCCCTCCAGAGCTGCCACAGAGACCTGACCATTCCTCTAAAACCAGGGATCTCCCAGGCTTCTAGCAAGTCTTCTCTCTCCATTTCCTCCACCAGCAATTGGAAGTCTGGGTCCTCCACCTGGTCTGCCTTGGCCCATCCTCTGTACACCTGGGCCACACATCCCGAACCCACCGGCTCTTTGCTCTCAAAGACTAAAACCTTCCTCCAGCCTTCCCCAAAGGCCCTCCGGAGACACTGCTTGGTGTGGGCCCAGGAGTGGGGGCGTACCTTGACATGGAGTCTGGAGAAGCGTTCACAAAACTCTTGAGAGAAGATGTCACGTCTGGTGCTGGCCCACTGCCCCAGCTTGATAAAAGCCGGACCAGAATTCTCAGTCACCCACAGCAGAGCGTCCAGCCAGCGAGATGCCCAGCGTGTGGACATCAGAGCCAAGGGGGAGAGAAGGAGAAGGGGGCCAAATTTGAGGAATAGAACTAATGCACGGAGGCTGAGGCGAAGGAAAAATATAACTTTGTGCACTTGGACCTTGGCTAAAGACTTTCTGTCAGCATTCAGGGATGGAAGAGTGGCTTCCTGGCACCTAACTGCACATGAACTTGCATTCACTGCACCCCAACATAGCAGTGTAACCTTGGGTATCTGGGTTAAAATCCTCCCTCTTTTAACAAAACATGTCCCGGAGCTCTGGGTAAGTCTGACTCTGGCAAAGGAGCTTGCTTTACCGAAAGTGTATCTCAGGTTGAGAAGAACTGCCCTTGCTCCAAAGGCCATCATGGTTATCAGGTCAAACGACTGTTAGCTCAGTCCAGGAGATGAATTGCTACACATGTGCCCGTCTTGTATTACGAAACTGCAAAAATCATCAGTGAAGCATGACTCCAAAACATCCACAAGATTATGGCGGGGACTCCACTTTACAAGAAAGAGTCAACCTACTTATTCTTACTACAAATTAACTTAGCCTGAGTGGCAGTTACTGTAGATTCCTGTATACGAAAGGAAATTGGATTGCTTCTTCTCCCGCTGAGGACATATGGTCCATTTCATAGTCCAGCTGGCGTAATTGTACCAGCTAAAAATATCCATTTCTACTGAAAACAGAACATCCATGAAAACATTGCAACGATAGGCGCTTCTCTTCCGGGTCTGACGTCTCGCCGACGAGGTCACGTGGCTTCGTCTTAAAGGCGCGGCTGTATAACGGTAACAAATCTAAAAACAAAGATAATCACAAACGTTTAACGGTTGTTCATGAATTATTACAAGAAATGTTTGTGTGATCACACACACGGCTTATACATGTTAATGTTTTCAGTCCTGTGATGAGTTTCCCTAATGGACGGAGCACACGGAGTCCGTTAAACGTATTTCTTACTACAAGGTATGTTCAAAGCCTTTCTAACCATGAAATTAAAAAAAAAATCACTGACATATTAATGTAAATTAATTAAGTGGCAGTATACTTCCCCAAGTCACTGTAGAGATATTAAATGCCCCATAGGTGGCGACATATCACACATTACTCAGGGTGCTCGTCCTGTGTGTCTTTCCTCTTCTCCCTCTCCTCCTACCAGAAGAGAAGGAAGGGAGGAAAATGAATGCAAAAAAAAAAAAAACATAGTCCTGATAATCAAGACCGTTGTTGGCATAGAGCCTTTTTTTCCAGGTGCAACCACTGACATTAACAATGTCTCTGCTCAATTAAGGAAGCCTTTCCACTACCAGGACCCTGAACGTAGCTCATCTAAATGGAATACAGCCTTCATTAATGCTATTACTTACACCTGTGACAAATAGATTGGGTCAGGAAAGCATTACCCAGGGAGTTTGTCTGTTTGGTACATAATCTTGTTGCTCTCTCACCTTGGCCCTCCTTGCTGGTGTTGAAGGACACAGCTCAAAACCCAGTGACTACATTTTTAATTCTATGCATTCAAATGCCTTTTTGGAAGACATGTTTAATTGGTTACAGACAAGAGTATTTCCCATTCCTCCATTTAACAGAAAAAATTTTGTCCTTGGTCCTATCAGTTGTGCAGTATTTGGCTGAATCTGAACAGATAGAATAGCCCTATAAACTTAAGAATTCATCCTGCTATTTCTTACAGCAACCACATCATCAATAAACACCAATGACCCAGTTCCATTGGCAGTAATACATGCCCATCCCATTAGACTGCCTCCACCATGTTTGACAGATGATGTGGTATGCGTTGGATCATGAGCCATTCCTTTCATTCTCCATACTTCTCTCTTACCATCATTCAGACAGAACTTAATCTTGGTTTAATCTGTCCAAAGAATCTTGTTCCAGAAATGAGTAGGCTTTTTAAGATGTTTTAATGGCCAAATCCAAACTGGCCTTTCTTTTTCTTGAGTGTTACTAGTGGTTTGCACTTTGTGGTGAATTCTCTTTATTTACAGTACATTCATGATGACTCTTGATTGTAGACAATGATACATCTACTTCCTTGACAATGCTCTTGACCAGGCTGGATGTTGTTAAGGGTTTTTCTTCACCAAGGAAAGAATTCTGTGATAATATACTTTGGTTGTCTTCCATGGTCTCTTGGTGTTGCTTAGCGTGCTAGTGTGTTCCTTCTCTTAGAGAACATACCGAATTGTTAATTTTGCCCCTCCTAAAGTTTCTTTCTTTGGATCAGATTTTGACAATTCCCATGAAGAACTATCAAATGCACATTCAACACTTGGAATCAACTCCAGACTCGACTCCTTTCAACTGCTTAATTTGTTATGAAAAAACAAGGGAAGAGGCCACACCTTGCCATGAAACTGATTGTCAGTCAGTTGTCCTTTCCTTGTTCCTTTCTTTTGAGCCTCTGAAAATGGAGGGGCTATGTATAAAATTGCTATAATCCCAAAGTTAATGATTTTTTGTTAAAATCCTTGAATTAAAGCTAAAGGTCGACACTTCTATCACATCTTAATGGATTTGTTTCAAATCCATTGTGGTGGTGTGCGGAGGTACAATTACAAAAAAAATTGTTTAACTGTGCACCTGACTATCTGTGATATCAATGGTACTGAAATTTGTTTTATATGTGGACGACACTAATATTTTTTGTTATGGGCAGAACTTGCAGCAGCTTTCAGCGATGGTTACGACTGATGAGTCAATCAAAACGGTTTGACACAAATGATCTTTTAATTCGAACAAAACCAAGCTTATGCTGTTAAGAAATTGTGAAAGATACATGTGTATTAAGTAATAAGTAGACAAGTTTAATATCGTATACTGTATAGGATATGAAAGTTAATTAAATTACATTTTTGGGTGTGATATTGAGCCACAAAATCTGCAGGAGACCTCATATTTGTGTGAGTAAAGTTGGCAAGGTGCATTGCAGTTCTGCAAAAAAACAAGGCACATTCTGAATCATTAAGTGCTTTACACTGTATCGTTCAGTGCTACATTAACATGCTGTTTTTAGAGACACACGATTTAAAGGATGGATCTGGTGTGATTTTAAGACAGCACAAATAATGTACAATACAGGAAACAAATTCCTGCCTACATACAAAAAAGTTAAATCTCAAGAATATGGTGTTGATGTAGAACTCAAACAGAGATGTACAGAAGATTTTTGAGAGGCACAGGAATGAATTTGGCAGGTTGGAGGTCCACCTCCAAATTAAACCTCTTCTGTGACACGAGTCTATTGTTGAGCTGATGTAATTTGTGCTGTGGAAATACACATTATATTGAATTTGTCATGTGTACCAGTACAGTACAGGTAAACCTGATTCATGCTTGGTGTGCTTTAAGGTTTTTACCAAACATTCTTAAAAAATTAGAGAAAAAGTTTAAAAGGTAAGAATTAAAGATGTGTCTGTGCGAAACAAATACCGTGATACACACTTCATGTTAAGTTCAGCTCTGTTGAAGGCATGAATCCCCCTCACAGACAGGAACAATCAGAGCTGAACCTGCTTGTGATCCTTTTCTTAGAACTGTAACAATCACCACTCCAGCGCTGTCTGCCCCGGTTTATCCAGCAGCCTACGTAAAACAGGTTCAGACACTGTCCAAACAGGCTGCAACTTCTTTTCTGGTGGGACACTCAGAGCCCATGTCAGAAACCTGGAATCCTTGCTGGACCAAGACCTATAAATTGAGCAGGAAAAGCATGTGTTCAATAAAAATGTACTGTATGCATACATAATACTGTATACAGTACACACACACACAAATATGTATGTATATTTATACTCTAATCAGTAATGACTAATGGTGAATGTTGGTGATCTGAAAAATGAGGTTACCAACCATCCCACCTGTGATTCATCGAACACAGTATGTGCATTTAGATTTTTTTGACTCACAGGTCAAAGTTTACAACCATTTCTTATTAGTTTTATACACACTGGCCATGGTCTATTAAAACTGGTTATACAGTGGACTGAACAAGAATAAAGGCACCATGGATCAAGCAATTAGTATCACTATTCTCTTCTTTTCTATTGTACTACCAGGTGGACTGATGCTGCAGGTACATGAAGACTTTACCAGTAATGTCAACATCTTGCTTCCAGACTTCTGTATTGTTTTCATCTTGGACCATTATAGTCACTTGCTGTGTGCTTGCAGACAGGCGGATCTCAAACGTTGGGTGGTAATTTGGTCCAAAATCCAGGTCAAACTCTGACTTCTGAAAACCAGTAGGACCAGTGTCAGTATCTCAATAGTATCCAAAGTAAACTAAAACACGTTTTATGAATTGTTTCAGCAGGTAAAAACCTTTTATTTGAAATACTCACCTTTGGCTGTATTTTATAGGCCGTCGGCAGACACTGAACACTGTAATTTCGATCTTCAATGAATTTGCATTTGGAAGGTACCGGAATGTTCACATAACCTGACTGTCTTATGGTCACCTTAAAGAGACGTGGGGACATTTTAATTAGACAGTTTATCCTCAGTAGAGCTCAACTGATAATCAGCAGGCTGGTTTTATATCATCACAAATTTTATCATTCATTTGTACTCCTGCCTTCTTGGGTCGGCTGGCTCTGTCCGCTGGTGTCAGAGGAAAAAGATAAACCCACCACCACTGCATTCCTTCTCTGACAGTCCTTGTAATGTAATTCTTGTATATCTTTGTTAAATCACCTGGATTTTGTTTAGCTTCATTAATAAAATTATTATTTTATCAGGTGAGTAACTGATCTTTGAATATGTATCACAGAGTTTGGAGGAAAGTGAAGCTGTAACATTTCATAAGTCTTTACCTCTTCCAGAGGGACGTTGCTTGACACGAGATGCACATTGATGTATTGCATCTGTGTGTGTGGGTTTATTGGTCGGAGGTACAGAAAAACATGGCCATCAACTGGATCCGGAGTCTCCAAAAATTTCCACAGAACTTCCAAAGACCGGACTACACCAAAGGCAGAGAGATGAGGGACTTTGATAATCACATGAGTGTCTGTGACCTCCAGCGGTTTGATGATACTCATTCCATCGTCACTGATGTGGACGACACACAGATGGTCTTTAGCTGTGTAAACACAGAGACATTCAACATTTGTTTTACTGATGACAGCCTCATTACAATGGTAGTGATCATTTCATTCTATATCTAGTAGGGGTGTCACGATTCTCGGAATCCATGATTCGATTTGACTTTCGATTTTAAGGTCATGATTCAATTCAGTTTTTGATTTAAACAATTTTTTTTTTCAGCACTGACAGCTATTCCATTCTTAGACTGCTGAGTCTTGATTTACAAAGATCAACAGATCATTGGTTTTATACCCTGACAACTGTCATTTACATTTTTAAATTCTCCTTTAAAAAGATGGTTTACACGGTATAAAATATAATACAACCACCATGTTTTTTGGAAGGTCAAAATTAATAGGTACTGCACGTCAAACTGCTTTTGGTCTGTCAGGTGAGCTTCAGAACAGATACATTTTGTACCTGGGGGATCTGGCTATTCCAATCGAGGAGGAAGGAAAAAATACAAACAAGGTACATTAAATGAAAAAGAATAAACAATAATTGTTTTTAATATATTCAGGATCCCGAGATGATAAATCCTGATGATTTTAGTGACCGCCTGATCTCTCCTCTTGCACTATCCTGAAACAGTTTGATGGGCAGATTGCCATGAAGTGCTCTAAGGAAAAGAGGAAAGACTACTCAGTTTGCTCTTTTACCACCGCAACTCTAAACCTGTGTGCCATGAAATGGACTGAATATTTAAATATGCTATTTAACATAGACACTACTGCATTAAAATGTAATTTCTTTCTGACAGTAAATAATACTTTACTATAGTGTGCCAAAGTACAAACATACAAAACTTCTGGGGGTGTAATAATTCTCTATTATTGCAAGGCTATAACAATTTGTTATTAGCTTAATCAGTGCAATGTTGCTGTGCAAAACACAATGGGAGACAGCAGACAAAATATCTCTTTTCTGTTTGTTGCTTGTTGAACAGGTGGTTTGATTTAAAGAAAAAAAAAAAAGGTTACTACTCAATATCAAAATTGCATTCTTCTTAACAGGGACAGTCAGATTGATATCACGTATCTGACACTATCAACATGAATATTAAATATTTTAATTACACTGTTCTACTAATTACTTAACTCCTCACAGTTCCTTAATGTGTTGTATTGCCATTTTTACTGTAATATTGTCTGGTTGATGCTTAATTAACTCTGTGCAAATTAAATAAAACTAACCAAGTGTACCACAGTGAGCTCTGATAAACCTCATCATGCTTTTAATGGGAGCTGTGGCAGTTGCTAGACATATGTGGGTGTTGGCACAGATATTTGTTGAGACTGGGACTCTGCAGCCTACAGGGGATACTTGACTTTAGAGTTTCATCATTGCTCTAACAAAGTACAATAATTTGCTCACCATCCTTTGTTTCACAGTGTGGTAGGTGGAGCTGACAGACAGCATCCTCAGGACACTGGAGTTTGAACAGTGGCCCTGCAGGAATCTTGCCAGCTGATTGGAGGAGACTGTCATCCCATTGGACAGTCCTGTAGTGCAGGTCTGCCTCCTGAGTCAGAACAAACACCAGTCCAGTTGTAGTACACTGGAACCCACCTGGTCCAGGAAACCTGAACCTTTAGGACACAGAGGACTGAATGACCACAATGAACCCGTTACATCTACACATAAAGTTAGAGCAGTGGTCGGCAACAGGCAGCCCCTGGGCCAAAACTGGCCCCTCCAGCAATAATATCTGGCCTGCCAGATTTCTTTGACATCAGACTGACGGTCCCACATTTAGCTTTTATGTCCAAATAGAGAATCATGAAGAATGCTTGTTGTACTTTTATCCATGTTCAGAGTGGATGACAGACACATGCATTCATGAATCAGGCCGTGGCTGCACCGCAGTCTACTGAACAGAATCACTTCCTCTTTGGTGATTTTGCCTACAAAATAAAAGCATGAGAAAGTTCATTTGTAGCAAATGCTTTATTTCAAGCTAATTTAGAGCTTTTATTCTGAAAATATCTGACCGAAGTTCAAAAGATTCTTTTGCTCAGTTCAGTTCAGTAACTGATTCAAATGTACTTATATCTGACTGTGGGCTATGGTGCCACACACATGAACAGTAACAACTTTCCTCTTTATAGGGACGTTTTTCTCTAGCTAACTAGCTAAAAAGTTTCACTGACTCCATTCTGCACACAACATAATACAATAAGTTAGGTCGAGTGTGTAACAAAGAAGCTGTCAGTCATTCTCATAATTAAAATGATAAATATTTCTTATTCACAATATGGAAAGGGGAACTACAACAGAGTTTGGTATGAGCATTCATGTCTCAAATAGGCTATTAATAACTGAGTTATTTTTATACATTCTCTGTGTCTCCCACACGTACATGTCTTATAAGGCGGTCTGTGTTGCATGTTGGTGACTAAAGACACCAGCCAGTTTACGTGTCTGACTGTCAAAGTTTTTATCATCGCTGCCTGTCTCTTTACCAGCAATCTGTGTGTCTGTCATTTGGGGTGCGACTGAGAGTGTACTACATGTTTTTTTTGGGGACTGTACCGAAGAACAACATGTGTAAGCAACAAACTGGTCAGTTCAGGGTCTCTTTATTATTACAGGACTGTGCATGTACGAAGTCCAAACCATCAAAAGATGCAACAGAGCTGTTAAGGCCAACTGATAGCTGATCCAGCTGTGCTGTTGTCATAAGACACTGATGTTGCTTCATATGACGGTTCAGAGTAAAGGACTCATTTCTCTATGTGTTTTACTGGATTTCTCAAAAATAGGAAGGACCCAGAGAGGAGGACAAGAGCCATCCATGAGACCATCAAAACTGCAGAGAGCACATTAGGAAATAGCTGTGGCTCAAAAGAGGAAAACTGTGCAGAAAGGAGGTAAAAGTGATTTTGATTACCTGTATGAGATTTTTGCAGATTCAGGTTGCAGCTCAGGTGTGAAGCTTGATAGGGGCTGTGATTCACAGAAGAACAACATCAGTTGTTTTACAATAAATAACCAACTTGAGTTCAGTGAAGCAAACAAATATTCTTGCACAGTCCATACTGCACTGAAGCACAGCGTACACATCAGAGAGAAAGTGGAGCCTGAGTGGACTGACACTGTGATATATTTCTAAAGGTGCCATTGTAATTATTTACAGATTAAGTCTGAGTGGTTTGAAGCACAGCAGATTCGTCTGTAGGGAAAGGCTATTATGATATAAAACCAGAAAAAATGCAACAGACTTGAATTTCAACATCTTAAAAAGTAAAAAAGACAGGTAATAGCTAAAACTAAAAAAGTTTAATTTAAATTTAATAAATTTAATTCAAGCACAAAAGTCATAAAGAGGTAGCATTTAGCGCTCAGGAACATCTGAAGAGGATGTTTCTAGCTAAAACTATGTAACTGTAGTCCACATAACGTAAAGGTGAATAGTAAAAGCTAAAATCTATTCGTTGAGGTCACAAACATTTCAAACCCGGCAGTATGAAAAGATCCACAAATCAAGTGGATATTTTTAAGTTACAGACTAATTAATACCAAATTCCTCTTTTGTGTTTCCCTGGAAAGAGTTTCCTTGCTGAGCTGTGGTGGTAACATAAGTAGTAGTAACATAAAAAAGGGATTTTCATACTAAGAACACTGTAACTTTGGACAAAATACAACTGCAGTAATTTTAAAATCAGCTCACTGCAGTTTACAGATACTTTGACAGCAGCCATGCCGTCAGCCTGGGAAAGCTCAAACTGCAGACACAAGATCAACATTTCTGACCTGCCAAAAATCCAGCAGTTCATTTGAAAGCCAGATCGTTGATCATTGAGGTGATCGATCAAGCATCATGACCTCAAACTGACAGAAATTTGTCCAAATTCTAAAATTACTCAAGATGACAACTTAAGGGCAAAAATTGTGTTGAAGATCTAAAGGGGACTCAATGCATTTCTCTTTCTCCACCTGTACTAAGGGGTGAAGACGTTCCCAGCTACAGGAGTTATCTGTTGAATTCTTTGAATATTTCTTTTCCATTGCCTGCTGTGTGTTAAGCCCTTAAATCTGTCTGGAGTATCAGGATACAATTGTTTTTCTCTCACCTTCATCAGCTTTGTGTCGTCCTCAGACATATCTGGCTTTGTGTCTGAGTCACCTGATGAGAGGAGAAGACACAACAGGCGTCAGAAGTCAGCGTTTACTGTTCCTCTCTTTGTCAGAGAATGTGAGTAGAGTCCAACAGCAGCAGCTTAAAGCCTCCTGTCATCACTTTCCTCTTTTTCTATTGGCTGTGTATCAACCTGAGCAGACGTGTCTAAATATCTACTACTGAGTCAACTATACTATAATATGGATCTGCAAGCCGTTTAAAGCTGCCTTTGTTCAGTGAAATTTACCAGCTGCAGCCAGTCAGTAGTTCATTTGTTTTAGGCATCAGTGACTTGTTCTGGCAGCAGTTGCATGGACACAAGGATGCAGTCTAGTTTGTTTCGACACTCGCTTAAAGTCTGTTTTCTCTGAAGACACCACATACAATTCCCTCTAACACATGGGGGCACTATTAAAAAGGCATAATCATCTTGATCAAACTCGTGTGAACAGTTTTTCTTACCTTTATTTAATGGTGATGGGCACTCTGAGTACAAATCTTCTTTTTCAGCTGCAGGCTGCACACCCTCTGGGAATATTTAGAAAGAATGAAAATAGCCCAGTTAAAAGTCATGTTTTTTTTTTTTTTTAACTATTTTATAGAAACCATGAAAATGATCTGCCTTACTCTGACCACATTTGCAGTTTCGTATGCACCTGCTGACAAACACGACTTTCTTCAACTTTTAGCTGAATGTGTTTTTCTGAACGCAGCCATTTTGAGACCTCAACAAAGAACATTTCTGACCACACCGCCGGTCGGAAGTCTGCTTCTGTGAAATCTTCTTTTCACAAACTCTCTGGAAAATCAGTCAACCAAAGAGGAATAACAAAATCACTGATGGAGTCTCTGAAGAAAGAAGTGAATCATGGCAAGTCACAGTCAGTAAACAGTGACAAATCACAACGTGATCCCCAATCAGTTGAAGATGAATATGCACATCACAAGGGAAAATTTGAAGAGCGAGTCAACAGGCCACAGTCCATTGTGATGAAGTAGCTCGGATTCAAGGATAAAGAAGAAACCTTGAAGAGAGGGAAAAACTTGATGGCAAAGGGTTTTCACTAATGGGGATTTCACAGACAGTGAGACAGAAACGAATGGAGCTGCGACTTGAACAGCAGGTGACAAGGGACAGACAGATCAACTCATCGTTCCCAAGCCACGTTCTTCGTGAATAGTTAGATTCGATTAGACACTTCTCACTTCCCCCTGGTGTGTCTGAGACACTTTACAGACCTGTTTCTCCATATGCCCACCAGATGTCCCCAGACTTTCCCACCAATACCACCCACCTGTTTACACTCCCACAGAGAAGAGACCAGCTGCAGCCTTGCACCCTACAAGCCACACCCGCTTCAAACCACACCCATTGTCATCTGCAGCGTCCAAACTACGTCTCACTCTAACCAGCTTCTTTCACGTTCAGTGATGTGGCTGCAGCTAAATATACTTGTTCTAATATCATCTCCACCTGCCAACACACCTGCCTCTCATTATCTCCTCAGTGTATATAACCAGCTCACCAGCTCAACTCAACTAAGTCATACAAATTTGTGGACCAAAATGTAGTTTATAAATATTTTGGCAATGACATTAGCATACACTCATTTGACAGTCAGACTGTATTGAGGACAGATTGGTGGATAGGACACGGTGTTTCACTACTCACTGTCTCTGGAAGCTTTAATCTCCTTGTAGGAACAAACATAATCACAACAGTTACAAAGTGAGTGGAAAATAATCGAGTAATAGTTATCTTAATTAAACCTATCAGTGATAATCCCAGATCAGTCTCGCCCAGGATATTAACTCATCCTGTATCAATAAGCCTTATTAGTGGGTTAGTCAGTGACCTTTAGGATCAACCTGAGCTTTAAGTCTCACTTTTAAGCAGGGTGCCATGGTAACCAGCCAACCAAAATAAAAATAAACATTTTTTGCCTTCTCAATTAAAGTTTTGGAATTTTTTTTAGAAATGAAAAACTGAAATATCACATTGACATAAGTATTCAAACCCTTTGCTATGACACTTTTTTTAGGTGTCTCCTATTCCTCTTGATCATCTTTCTGTTTCTACACCTTGATTGGACTCCACTTGTGGTCAATTAAGTTGATTGGACATGATTTGGAAAGGCACACACCTGTCTATATAAGGTCTCACAGCTGGCAATGCATATCAGAGCAAAAACCAGGCCTTGAGGTGGACGGAAGTGCCTGCAGAGACAAGACTGTGTCGAGGCACACATCTGGGGAAGGCTACAAAAGGATTTCTGCTGTATTGAAGGTTCCCAATAGCACAGTGGCCTCCATATTTCTTAAATGGAAGAAGTTTGGAACAACTAGGACCCCTCCCAGACCTGGCTGCCTGGAAAAAATGAGCAGTCAGAGGAGAATCACCTTGTTAAGAGTAGTGATGAAGAACTCAATGGTCACTCTGGCTGAGCTCCAGAAATCTTGTCTGGAGATGGGAGAAACCTACAGGAGGGACAAACTCCAAACTTTATACTTAGAATAGAGGCTAAACAGGTCAGTCCTCATTTCGGCAGACCAGAGAATTTTATTTCTCAGTCTGAGAGCCTCTTTGGTGCTTTTTTGAAAACTTTGACCGAGAAGAGGCTTCTGGCTGGTAGGTGCAGTGACGCAAGATGTTTTGCATCACTTTGTAGTCATTTTTCTTTATCAGCCAATGATAATAACTACAGTTTATGACAAAGTATAAAGAAATGTGAGAATCCTTCTTGGATTCAGCCATAGCACAAAGTACTGCAACATATCAGAAATATTTACAGTGAGGCAGCGGCAGATGTTTGTGATTTGACTGCTCTGTGTGTGACTATAGTGAACACTGTGTTAACTGATCTTTTGGCTGCCAAGTGTCTTCATAAACCAATGAATAAGAGACTGTTGGGTAAGCCACAAGGCATAAATACAACAGATCAAAATCATAAGTTATGAAGAAAATTCAAAGTTATATTAGAAATCACATGCCAGAATGTGGTGTTTTAGGCTAGATGTTAGTTACTACACTCTACCACATGTTCTATTAATATCATCAGTATCACTGTTCTTAAACACAGTATTACTGATGACATTACTGCATGAGTGCAAAGGAGAACCACAAACACAGCCACACCCCCTTCAGTCAGCAGGCCTGCTTGCATGGTATGAATAATAAGCAACAGTTGTTGTCTAAGTATAAACTGTTAAGCATAAGAAAATTCCATTGAAAACACAGTGAATGTTGGATCATGATGTAGCAGGTGAAAAAGCATGAAATCAGATGTGTGTGGTTGGTTTCCTGTGTGTCTGATATCAAAACATCTCATTTTAGTTAGATTCTTAGTTGTAAACAGCTTGATAAACCATCAAGCTATTAAAATCTACACGGCTAGACCAATCACAAAAAGCAAAACTGAAAACAAAAAAACCCCCCAGAAGCATGTACCACGAAGCAGAATATGAGTCTATTGAGGTAACTTCACATTTAACTCTGGGTTTTCAGTCCTACGACGGGAGTTCACCTCTTATCGTGGGTAAATCCCCAATTTATGCTGAACTCCAAAACCTGCTCCGGAGCAGGATAACTCGAGAGGATCAGCCCAAATACTGCAGCCTGACATTACTTTCAGCTGAGCCACATAACAAAATAAAAACACATCCTGAGTATATTGAACCAGCTTCGTAGTACATATCCAGTCAATGTTAGGCTCAGTAAAGCCAGAAATGGAAACGAGTCCCGCGTATTTAACTTGCTTCGTAGTATGTAAGTATGTAGGACTTGCATACAAAGTGTTTCCTGGAGCTCTGAGCCGCCTGTCTTCACTGCGGTTCTGTCACTTCTCAGTTTGTCCGCCTCTCCACAGTCACAGCTCGGTCACATAAACATAAAACAAGTTGGAAGAAACATGGCATCAACTCACCAGCTCACTCTGACTGTACACTTCTCTGTTGTTCCGGTTCCGCGTTGTTCCGAGCCTCACCTGACCCTCTCGGGAGCGCGCACAACGAAAGCTGGAAAACACCCGACAGTGTGATTTCTGAAGTAACGTGCTGTTGAAAAACTTCTCATCTTTGTCCGGGTCAAGGGTTTTTTGTTTTGTTTTTTTTAAACAAAAAAAACATTTTAGTAGACTAAAAGAATTAAATCAATTAGTAAATAAATAAATAATTTTAGCCTTTGTTAATTTGGTCAAATCTTGCACATACATACCGGTAACAAATTATGCTGATGGTCTACTTCTGTTGAATGGTGGCATTAGTCATTAGATTAGATTCTCATAAAGACTGAATATCTATACACGGAGTCCGAATCACTTTTTTTTTTTTTTTTTTTTTTTTTTAAAACGTGATCTTTCCAACTCTTATGTGTTCCTGTGCACGATGTCGCTGCAATGTCTAGGATTAGAAATGTCATCCTAAATGTCAAAACTGCCACTGAGAATCTGCGTGGTCAGACTGAAGAAAGGAACAAGAGCCTGAACTTGAAATAAACTATGTTCAACTATGCTACTGCCCTGCACTGAGAAGACATGAATAATTCTTCAGTTACTTGTGTTCAAATGACAGCAGTGTTGCTGTTGTTCTGCTTTGCCTTAATAATCAATAAATAACCTTTGAACTCACAAATCCTTTGCACGTTTGGATGTGTAGTTCAATGAATCTGAACATTGCCAAACTCTGTCATCATGTCTTCCTATTGCTGGAATCTGGGAGAGTTAAAGTTAGAGTGCATAGCCACTATGGGTGGTTATTTCAGCAGTATCGGGTTAGTGAATGTGAGACCTTACTTTCTTTGACAAAACCAGGAGAACATTATCTCATTATCTGCTGCCGTAGAGGATCTTTGCTGCTGCGGAGTGTTGCTGTACGTTACTCAAAGGCGACTATCAGCCTCTACATAGCTCTTTAATCAAGAGTGGGTAAGTTTCATCATGGCTGTGCACACAACTTGCAATATCCTACTATAATCACACCTGTAACGTGGTGTCGTGAAGACCTACAGTGTGTTGAAAAGTCATGCAGAGTTGTCCTCTGTAGGTTAGCTAGCAGTCTATAACTGCGCACATGCTAATGCTATAGGCTACCGATTATTGTCTGTAACAAGCGCGTACACTTCCTGCTTCTATTCCTCTCATTGATAAGCACTACCACTACTATGTTTTGCTATTTGTTCAATACACTTTTTAGTTACTGGGCTAAGGCTCAGGCTAATCTCATTGCAATACATCAGGCCACAATGCTTTCTGATCTCTGCTAATCCAGAGGTGTTTTGAAAAATATCCTGGTGCTTCATCCCCTCACCAGCCACAGACCAGGCGCCTGACTGGCATTCAGTGGCAGTGGTAATAACTTTTTATGTTGTAGTGCTTCATTAAAATAAACATTGTGACTGGAATATTTGATTACACTGTACTTAAATTTGACAGTGATTCATTTAGCAGTGGCTCAAATAAGCTGTAAATTGGCTGCATGTAACAAGACGTTTAATGTTGAGATAAATCAACTTACAATAAATACATGGCTATGAAATACGTCCAGAGCATTAAGTACATGCATATTCAACCATTTTTGATTTTTATAAAAAAAGAGCACTTTTTAGCACATGCATTGTAGTTCCTCTAGGCATCTGTATTTTATTTATAATTGATTCAACATTCAGCCAAACATGTACAGACACAACAGAGACTAGATCATCCAGTGTTGTCATAAACTGCCTCACAATAAAATCAAATTGGATGATTATGGCCCCTTACCCACTTTAGAAAACCAGACATTTTTTGAAGTGACTAAGTAGCTAAGTGACTACTCAAGGTCATGGCATGTGCCTGAGGAAGCGATACAGCAAATGGAACAGAAGAAGGTAGTCATATAGGTAGGAAATGCTCAATTTTAACAAAAAAAAACAAAAAAACAACCCACATAAAACCCAATGTTTGGAATAGCTTTAGAAATAATATCTGGTGCTGTATATGCTGGATATTGATTGTTATAATTGTATGCACTTGACCTAAGAATTTATATAATATCTCTAAGCAAGTGCTTAGTACCAGTATATATGTATGTGTAAGTGAAGCTTTCAGATTTGGCCTAGGCGGCTTCTCATATGTACATGACTGTCATCTGTCAGCTGTCATCCGGTCTGACAGAGAGAGGGAAGTTTCACTAAGGAGAGAGAGTGAGGCTGCAGAATGAGGGAATGAGAGACAGGGACACCTAGTGCCCAGTTGGAGGGGTCGTCATGCTGTGACATTTTTGTCCCTTACTATACCATGATATTTTCATGACTTGATATACTATGACAGTTATATGACACACTGTACTATGGTAGGCTATTGCTTTTGACTTCATATACCATGACATTCAGTATGACTTACTATATGACACAGATTTCTGGCATACTGTGCTATTTCAAATTTTCTATGACTTTTATACTATTAATTTTTTTGCGACTTACTGTCAGTGTTGGGAAAGCTGCTTTAAAAGCAAAGAGCTGCAAGCTGCCAATTACTTTACAACTGAAGAAGTTGTAATATAGCAAAGATACATTAGGGAGACATCTAGTTTGGTCAAATGAAGCAACTTAGAAAATGTAGTTCAAACTACTTTGTAAAAACTACAAGATCAAATTTACAATCTGCATATGATACAAAATTATAGCAAAATATAGTACAAAAAAGTCACATGCCGGTTTATTGCAAAAAGTGCCTACTACTCCACAGGTCATAACATAAACTGAAAAACTAAAATACCCCTTTTTTAATACAATAACTGCATGAGTATGGCCATGGTGATTCTTTGATTAGGGAGGTGTATCCATGAATCCTTGAACTGCTATGCACATATGAATATAGCTGAACTATAAGCAAGCTGCTGCAAAATGTAGTTAAACTACTAGTTTAACAATCTATGGACATATGTAGGTTGTAAAATTGCAGAACCTTCAATATAAATTGAAAAAAATTAATGCAACAACATTTTCTTGCCAGCTGTTGACCAGTTGTTGATATGAACGTTGCAGGCCACAGCAAAGTTATGTGGTTTGGACATTAATGGAAGTGGCATTAAAAAGTACTTCATGATAGGATACTCTGAGCAGAATTCCTAAGAAATTACTTAGAAACTCCTTTATGATTTTTTTCTGCAGCATTGGTATGGTTGGCAAAATCTGCCTCTGGGTCATGAAAGGAAAGGAGGAGGCAGGGAACAAAACACACCCTGGGTTTGATTTCATTGTCATTTCCCCTGCTTAAAGCGGAGGTCTTGCGAACAGCCGACCATGCACCATCAAGGACTGAGAACTTGTCCTAGCCATGTTCCCAGTCACGGTGTGTGTCCCCTGGACAGTGGGCTCAGTACGCTCTCAGGATCCCAGCTGTAGTCCTGATAGAGGACTCAGCAACACAATAAGGTGGGATAAACGCCAAACAGATGTTACTAGCCCCCACCTCTCACCCTGGTCCCCTCACAGCTATTGACGGACAAGCCTGGCTTTTTAGATCTCTCTTGCATTTCAAAGGCGAGGTCAGGGTTTGGGCTCAGGGGTCAGCAGGATAGTTGCTCTGCTGAGGTGATGCTATTAGACACTTTATGAAGACTGCTTAGTGAAATTACTGTAGGAATGCAACTCAGGCCCCTTTATATGATTTGCACATATGAGAATTCAAAATAAATCACAATGCAACATGGATCCCTGATCACGTACAGTATTTATGCTTGTGCATATTGGTGTATGTTTTGTCTGCGTACTATAAGTGTATTAACTCCATTGTTTCTAGTATACCCTGTGAATGTACTAATTTACTCCAAGAACTTCAAAGTAAGATCAAAACATCTTCTACACTGCTGGATAGCATCAACATGGAGTGGACACAATATCATGAACACCTCTACAATGAATTACTGTATATTTAAATAGACTGCACTATAACAACCTTTGTAAAGCCCGAAAAACCTTAAGTATTTTGCATGTAAATACATCAATGTACAGTATACGGCCCAGAGTTGACATGTCCTGTGCATCACTTGATACCCATATCTGTGTATGATATAGTATAAAAACTTAAGGCTTTGAACACAGTTTGTCTGCACAGCATGTGTTTGTAATAATGGACTTACCAATGAGAGTCTTTGGGGGTGAACAGGTTAATTATTAATCACACTGGCCATCAGTATGCATGTCCAGCCTTGTTTCCTGCTCTCTCACTTTCTTTTTTCTGCTCTTTCCACAGGGCCGTTGTGCTACTCTGCAGCCCAGGGCCTGATTGTGAGCTGGACTCCCCACTTTGTATTTTGTCATTGAGAAGAGGTCAACGGTAATCAACCCAAACACTGTCAAACCATTTACTGTCTGTGAACACTCACCGCACACAACATTCACCTATTTGTTGTAGTTGTTGGTGTTGCTGGCACATGTGAATGGGACATGTGAACCAGTAAACAAAATCTAGAAAAGATAAAATAGATGAACATGTTGTCCCCTCACTGAGATAGGAAGAGTGGCCCTTGGGCTTCTTTAATATGCTCCCAGAGGAGGCTGTTATTTATGTATTCAGTCTTGCTCGGCGTTGCCCCTTCCTGCTCCATTCCTTTTTTTTTTTCCTTTTTTTTTTTTTGAGCAGGACACTTGGTTTCCCCAGCAACTAGGGCTCCAATCGCCCAGCCAGCTGCAGATTAGTTCAGCAGTGGGGGGTTTAGGTGGGTGGGAGGGGATGTGGAGGGGGGTGATGATGGAAAATGGAGAGGGAGGAGAGAGAAGGGAGAAGGAGGGAGGGAGGAAGGGAGAAGGGGAGGGGGGTAGCATGAGGGAAGGAGGGGTGGGAAAAGTTTGAGAGGGGGAGAGGGAGAGAAGGAGAAGGAGCCACCGTCATTCAGAGATAGAGCCCGAGTGAGTGAGTGAGTGCGTGTGTGTGTGTGTGTGTGTGTTTGAGAGCTGAGAGTTGAGAAAGAGCTGTAAACATTTTACCCTGAAGTAGGCTGGACGGGAGGAGGGATTTCCCTGACTTTGTGCCTTTTTCAAACTTTTTGTGCGCTCGAAGCTGTGCTGTGTCTTTCTCTGTGTGTACAGGCAGGGACTATGCGAAGTGAGAGAAGTCGGAGGCAGGAGTAAGGGTGTAAAAACCAAAAGAGGAGAGAGAGAGAGAGAAGGGAGAAAGAGGCAAACTTCTCTGGAGGAAAGGAACCATGCATGTGGATGCTGTCTTCTGTGGGGTCAGGTTACGCAAAATGAGAAACTACTCCAAGAGCACTTCATCAGGGCTCTCCAAGCTCAGAAAGGTAATGTGAGGAGTTAAAGATTGTCCATGTGTGTGTCTGACAGTGTGTGTGTGTGTGTTTTGTGTTTTTTTTTTCTTATTTTCTCAAAAACAAATTTAGTAAAGTTGTAGTAAGAAAACGTTATTTGTTTGTATACACTATGTTGGACACATGTTGACTGACATTAATAGCAATGAATTAACTCAGGCTGAAAATCATTTATATTGCTTTAGGATCCGTCTTTATGCTTGTGCCTCCACTTAGCCTGCTCACACATTCTCTGCTTGAATGTGTGTCAGTGTACAGAATGTACATCTATGCTCATTTAAAGCAGTCTGGATGGTAAATGTTATGATGTGCTTTTGTCTGTGTTTATTTGAGCCGTATTTCATTGTGTACTGCTGTGGCTCCAGGTAAAGTATGCCTGACTGTTGCTCAAGTAGCCAGTTTGAAACTGTCTGCGTTAAGTCCATTACTGCTGCCCACAAGAGACTCATCTGTGCCTCACTGAAAGTATTTGAGCACACGTGAGCACCAATGCACACACATGCACACTCAGGGGTTGTCAATTTTCATCTGCTTATCAAAGGAAAACAAAGTGCAGATAAAAAGTTTAGTAACCATCTGGACAGCAGTCTACTGCACACTAAAACCATCACATTCAGAACCAGAGTGTTGAGGGGTGAGAGGGAAAAGAGGACAGGATAAGTGAGATGAGCATTCTTCGCTGTGAACAAAGGCACCTCTTCATGCAGAGTCCCAGCGCCTGTATTGTTATGAGGAGGCAGGCCGGGGTGGAAACCTCCCCTGGGAGAGGAGTTCAGCTTCAGGTGGCTCCAAAAAGTCAGCTTTCCAAGTGATTAGAAATAACTTCTTGTTTGCAGATTCATGACCAGACACTTTGCAGTTGGGTTTCAACTGTATTACATAGTATCTGAAATCTTGTACCTCATACAAGTCCAAATAGTTTCATGAATGATCAAACTAACGTCTGTAATTGAGTGTGTAATGATTGAACTTATGGCAGTCTGTTTGGAATATATAGACAAATTAGGCAATTAGCATAAGCAGCAACAGCCACAATGCCTGAACAGACAGAGAAAACAACACAACATAACAACAGGATCAGTCTTTATCAACAGATGAATGAATGGAAATGACATCACAGGACCCCCACTATCTGATTGTCAAGTGATTAAAGGAAACAGCTGTAAAAAGCCACCAGGACACTAATTAACAGAGAAACCACCAGGATATAAATATGTGGTAAATCACTGTTCAATGTAAGTTACTGTAAGAAGTTGATATGTTCCAGGAGAAATAAATAGGGCAATGATTCAAATCATTTAGTTACACAGAATAGCCTGTTAAATTCACCTTGTGGAGTTTCATTGTGAACAAACACAACTTTGTTTATCTTTCTCAACAGAATGTGCCCTTAAGGCCTCAGACACATCTTGAAAACATTTGCTCCTTCATAAACTTTTGCAAATGTTTTTTTAATGTTTAGAAATATTGTGAAACTTGCAAGATCAACTTTGTCTCCTCTCAGTTGGTATATTGTTACCTTAGTGCCACCAACTGAAAATGTGTGGGACTGCAGCAAATAAGGCCAACTTTTACTGAGCTATTCTTGATCCTTTCCTTTGATAGGCATGTCTGGTTTTTAAGGTAAAAGCCAACTACATTTACCAATGTATTTAGTAAGTTAATATACAGGCCTGAGTAGCAACTAATATAATGTTTTCTAGCTGAGATAGGAATGTCTGCTGCATTACTGCCATCAGATGAAATATGTAATATGTCACGCCTGTGCCTGTGGCGTGCATATACTCTGTGCACATGTTGGTAAAACTCGTGATACAAACAATAAACAGGCCTTTTCATCAAAATATCGCTCTACAGTGTCAGTAGTGGTCAAAAACTCCACAAAGCATCTTTGAATTTGACACAAGAACAACCATTTCTTTTCATGTGAGATGGATGAGTGTCGCTCTGTTGCTGGTGTCATACCATAGTGCAACAGGAATGGCCTCCCTGTCTTCTAAGCCCCAACTCTTCAGAGATGGTTATCAATCAGCCTGCGTAATCCATCTCAGCGGTTTCCTCAGGCCTTTCAGTTCAGCCTGTTGTGGGGTGATTGTTAACTTCAAGAACAAGATCCATTGAAACATTTGATTTAATCTGCTTGACTGAAATAGCAGCTGAAGTTTTTTTTCTTTGATTTTCGGAGCAACTGTATTGCCAATTACGTTTTATTTTCATATTGACAGTTTTATTTTCAGCTTTGAAGTTTTATTGAGCACAAATCAACATTCCTCCTCTCTGTCTCCTGTTTCTCTCTGTCCTTGCATTGTATTTACTCAACTCGGTAAGTTTGAGAGTTTATTGAATTGAGACTGGCTGACTCTCCAGCCGGCGCTGCGGAGAGGTTTATGGAGTTGGAGATAAAGAGGCATGGACTGACTGTCTGCTGGTCAGCAAAGTTGTAATAAGTGGGTTGCAGTCTTGAAAAGGGGGCTGGTGTGGAGCCATTGCATGTGTTTGTGTGTGTGTGTTTTTCTAGTGTTACTATCACACACATAGAGGTCTGTCAGATTGGGTCAGTTGTTCACATTCTGAGTCAGGGACAGAGGCTAAGTGTCCGCATGAATGCTGTTCAAGACAATATGCACTGTGGTGGAGAAGTCAGAATTTGTGACCTTACATTCACCGCTCAAAATATTCACGCTCTCAATGCCTCAGTCTTCCTCTGTCAGTGATTCATTTTACTCTCAAACACACACGCGTACGCACTCATTCGTTCTCAGGGTATTTTTCTCTAATTCAACATTTCCCTCTGTTTCCCTGATTCATTTTCTTTCTTTTTTGTCCTTCACACCAAAATATTGACACACTCATATTCATGGCATTATCACTCAATGCCCATTCATCTTCTCACTCTCTGTGACTCATGATTCCTACCATAAAGACACCCCCGCATGTCAACACATGCAACACACGAGGTCTCAAATCTACTCAGTGGAGGTTAAGAGAATGTTTCATCAGTATGCATCAAGTTGCTTTTTAAGGGGGAAAAAAAAAAGAAACACTCAAACGCCAGATGTTTTGTGTCGTGACAAGTCTGTCGTCTCTCACAACTGAATCAGCTTGTTATTTTTTTCTTGGAAGCATGCTGAGACGAAAAAATCAGTTTTGATTATTGGTATGAGTCACTGCAAATTCATCCAGGAAAACAGTGTTTAGCTGTTTAGCACGTTGATGTTATTGGCTGAATATATAAGAAAGTTAACCATAAGATGTCTGGTTTAGCACATTTTAATGTGTGCTTATATGCACATCCTTGAGTGAGCATCATGTTACTGTTGTCATTTGATAACAAACCGTCTGTGCAGTCTTGCATGGTCTCGTATTGAATATGTGTGCTTGTGTGTGTATTTGTGTGTTAGCAGATGCCACCAGTGACATCTGTCTTCTCCATTCTTCTCTGCTTAGAAAAGTGACAGCAGGGCTTTAGGAGGTTACAGCCCGTCCACCCCTCCTCTTACAGGAACTGGCTTTTGACAGGCACTCTGCAGGGCGGCCTGCAACTTAAAGACCCCACTGAGCCAATCTCCTGCCGTCCCCGAGCTGCTGTTGTTACCACGGTGACACGCTCAGAAAAAAATGTGTCCTGTGGTGATGGTGAAAGAATTCCTCTTGTTTCAAAGATATGGTGAGGGGAGGGGGTATTGTCTGTGATGTTGGTAGATGGCCATGGGTTTAGTTAGGATCAAAAACACCCCTAACCCCCCTCCTCACACACACACACACACACACACACATATACACATACACAGATGCATGGATAATACATACCATGTCAGACACCCATAACCCTGTCCTTGCAAGAGTCAAACCAACACAAATACATACATGCATGGATAATGCATACCATCACACTGGATACTGGAGGCATTTATCCATTTGGCAGCTGGCCATGTTTTTTTCATTAGATGCACCCTTAACCCCGACACACACATACGTACACACACTCTTTCTCAAACAGCCTATCGCTTGCAAGCTGTCGCTCTGTCTGGCAGTTTCACTCTGCTAAGTGTCTGAGTTGTATTAAAAAGAAATCGAACCATGGCTTGGGGGAAAAATGGTTGCTGCGACTCTAATTGGGACATTTAACAGGACATGGCAGGCTGAATCCCTGCCTGCTGCGTTGTTTACACAGACTACAGTACAAAATGTGAATGTCTAGCAGGGTCCAGCCTGGAGAGAGGGGCGAATACAAAGTCAGATACAGTTTGATGGCACGGTATTAGATGTGGGCTCGGAGGATTGTCCGATGCTGATCCAAGACCATCCACTAGTGTTGCCAGGTTGGTGCGGCTTTGCAGCTTGTGCCCACAGTGTGTGGCGGTGGCATCCATCTATCCAACTACACAGACACAGACACACACGCACACACACACACTCCAGAACACACACAAATACAACTCAAACACAGATATGAAAATATAGACAAGAACATGCTCAGTCACATGTGTACAGACGTATGCCCACACACACTTGAACATCCACTGACATGCTGTATACATGCACGTGAACATGCATTTACCATTCGCTTAACATTCCCAGCTTGGAAAAAAGAAGTTGTATGTGGGGAAGGCTGCCGTCTGGAAAGGAATGTGTCCATGTGGGTTCAAAGTGTAACTCTAATGTGGCTGTACAGCTCGTTGATTTAGGCTCGGGTTGCCATGTTATGATGAGCATTCCAAGCAAAATGGGAAAAGGTTACCGCATGCTTTGTTAGTTTGGTTATGTGCAGCTCGTCTGTGTAATATTTGAGATGGAAAAACCGTAAGACCAATGACCTCTAAATCATTTAAAGACCATTCCTATTCTCTTCTTTTCTCTTCTCTTCTCTTCTCTTCTCTTCTCTTCTCTTCTCTTCTCTTCTCTTCTCTTCTCTTTCTCTATCTCTTTCGCTTCCTCTCAGAGCCATCACGGAGAATGAGAAGAATGTTGTTTACCTGTCAATTTAGGGATCCACTCTATAATGACAATTAAAACATTGTCTGGAGGTTCATCCAACTGTAACAACTTAATGAGTATATACTCCAGACTACTGCAGACACAGAGGAGCTTTGATCATACCAAATCCTATCTAAACACTGTCTTGTTAAGGTCTAGAGCTGAGAAAGCAGTAGTTTTCTATTTGTCTGTCTCCAGTGTAATGATGGATACAATAACCTTATCCTTTATTATACTGCTACGTGTTTGTATAGTTGTATCTGCTCAGCTTGCTGTCAATATTACATCAGTCTTTTGTATATGGGAGTTTTTCATGTCATGATCATATAATATGTTGGGATTTTTTCGACTGATCAGACTAAAATCTTGCTCGAATAATGTGTTACAGGTTTTCCATTTTAATAAACTGACTAATGAATGAATGAAAAAATAATCAATAGATTCAGTTTAATTTACAGCGTTGTTGGTTAAAATGTTTTGCTCCTCGTGAATGTGAGAAGGTGAGCTAAAGCACTTTTCAAGATCAGATGTCATGAAGTGATTCACAACTAAAGTCACTATAAACAGACATAAAATTGACATACAAAAAACAAACAAAACTAATTAGATGATGCACAGCCTGCTCACTCATCGTTCCTCACACTTGTTGCAGTTGCTTTAGTCTTTTCGCTAACTGCCTAAAGAAAGCATATTTGCTATGTGTTGAGTACAATTTGTCCTGAGGTTCCTGAGGAGATGATGATGGAAACGCACATCTTTAGATCAGTTTAGTTTGGCTTGCTTCAGCTGTGCTAAACACCCCTCTCCATTTCACTCGGTTTTTTGGTCCACTGGCGGTCTTGGCCCAGGCTCACAGTTGTCGGTCACGGGGTGTGTGGAGGTCAAAAACGTCAGCTCCGACTCTGACTGTGGAGTTTATACTCCGGAAGAGCACTTTCCCAAGCTCTCGCCTTGTTCGGCTCCCGCGGGGATCGGCGGGTGAATTATAAAAATCTGTTTCTGTGCAGGCGTGCAGCGGAGCAGGGGAGCAGGGATGGGATGGGGGAGCTCTGGTGGGAATTCTCGAGTGGAACCCTTAAAATGTGAAGGGGGGAAAAACAGGAAGGAGAAGGAGAGGAGAGGATTTTGGCTTTGGAGTTCAGCTCAGAGACTGTGGCTTGGAGGAGAAATTTGATCTGGGGCCCAGAGAATAATGTTAGTGTGCTAAAGAAGCCAGGTTATTGTTGAAAGGAACTGTAGGTCCACTCACTGCTGCACATTCACTGTGGCCGAGCCTGTTTTAGAGAGGAGAGGTTTTGCCATTACGCTCAGAAATCCCACGTTGTGTGTCAGCACAATGTAATATCAGATAGCTGTAAATACTGCTCACTGCAGGGAGCAGTATTATCCCTGTGAATCACGGTGTATTCAGTGATACTTCCTCACGTGTCTGTGCGATCCAGTCCCTCTCTGTGTTGTTAACAGCAGAGACAGCTTTGCTGAGGTTGAGGCCATGCCTTGTCTGTCTCCTGCGTTTAAAGGGCGTGGTGAAAGGGTGACTACAGCTGTGGTTGCAGACGACAGAAGGCGTGTGTGTCTATCACCTGGCAATATTACCTGTGGCTGTTTATAAATGACCTCATCCATTGAGATTCATCACTGCCTGCCAAACAGCAAGGCTCATTGCCAGGAAGAGCTCCATGGCTTCTTTTGTTTGGAGAGCTTTCCTGTCAGTGGCCTTATTTACTCAGTCAGTGATGATTTATGCTTGCTGCAACCACAGTGCTCCAACCGCAGGTGCATCTACACCAAGGTCTTGTCTCTTACTGCCGGATGAGCCCATGGTGTGCTCTAATTTTTCTCTGGAAGGAAGGGAGCTGAAAACAGAAAATGTTAAAGGGTTAGCAGACATTTCAGATTCATAATAACTTTATTGTCCAACAGGAGTAGAGGAATATTTATCTTTGGCGCGGCCCAGAAAATAAGTAAAAGGCTCACAATACACATGAAAAACAAGGCTCACATTCTGTAGCCATGCTATAACTGTGAGGCTGTGCTTAGGCACGGCGATGCTTTCAGCTAAAGGCAATAAATAAGGTCAGCATGCTAACACGCCCACAATAACAATGCTAATGCAGATGTTTAACAGGTACATTGTTTAAAGGCCACCATCTTAGTTTGGCATGCTAACAATTAACAGTAAAGTGCTACATGAAAGGATCACAATTCTACGGAGCGCCTAAGGGTTCAGGTGTGCACCAGAAACTTTCACACTTTCCCCATGTCCCCTTAGGGGCTAGCAATCTATCCAGTTGTTGTTGAGACATTTCATTCAAAACCACAAATGTCAACTTCATGGTGGCACTATAGGAAAAGTCTGGGCATCACCAAAGTAGATTATATCCTTAAGAAAAGTTGGACATCTCAAGAAAATTTAACACCAATCCATCCAATAGTTGTATAAATATTTCAGTCTGGCCCAAAGGGGTGGAACAACCGAGCACGTGACCATGTGACCAACTGAGCGACAGACATTGCCATCCATGGAGCCAGCATGGATAAAAACATTATAGAAACAATTGAATATGGCTGAAGTGGCAAGAAGTAGCAACGTTTAAAATATGTAAAATCATGCAAAAACATGTACGTGTCTTAAGCAAATGATGCTGGAATAAATGAAAACAATCTGTCAAATCTCAAGCTTTAATTCAAGTTTAAAATTCTGTTATGTTTCAAACAAACCTGTCACCATGTCTGAAGACATTAGCTCTTGTTCTGAAGAGCAACACTCGAAGGCAAATGAAAAGCCTTATGTCTTACTAATGAGGAAGATCAGTATCTTTCACAGAGTCTCTCCTTGAAAGCGTTCGAGTAGTTATGTGGCCAATGGAAAAAGAGAACTTAAAGTTTTAAGCCTGCTTACTTTCTCACCACTGCACACCTGGCCAATCGCTGTGTGAAGTCCGTGTGACTATTGGGTTTTGGCTGAAGATGGAGTGGTGTTTCAGCTGCAGATGTACCAAATGTGGATTTTTGGATTTGACAGAGGCAGTGTTGGTTATGTAGGCCAAAGTGAGAGCTGTTTAAAAGCGGGTTCCTGGGATGAGTTGGCATGGACCCCTGGTCTTTGGAGCCAGCGGGGTAATTGGGAGCAGACCGGGGATGAGTCAGGAGCTCTGCTGATGGGAGCTTTCTGTCGGTGGGGAGGAGGAGCTGACATGTCTGTGGGAGGGAGTAGAGGGACAGATGCTCCACCTCTGCAAGGAGAGGAAACATGACACCGTTTCCCAGATGGGGGGATAGAGAGTGATTTGTTTGCTTTGCCTCCAAGACTGATTCACCCTCCTCCTCCGCTTCTCTCTCTCTTCTTATTGGGAAGATCTTGTCTTTTTCTCTAGTAAAGAGGCTTCTCTTTTCTTCATTGAACTAACGAAGGCCTCTCTGTATTTGTCTGTGATAGGTAAAAGCAGAGATGGAAGAATTCATTTATAATCCAGTTTTCCACCAGGTCAGTCCTGCTTTTTTTCTTTTTTTTTTTAACTTCCATGAGCTTAAAATGTTTTTGAATTATCCCCTTCATTTTTGCCTTTTATCAGGCCAACAATGTCAAAGGCTCCACATTTCTATTTCTAGAAAGGGTTTATCACACTGAAGACTTTAGTGTATCATTAGCCTGGAAGCTGCACCATTTGCAGTCAGTGGGAAGTGGAATGGAAGCCACAAACTCCAAAGGGAAAAGGAGACCCTCCCCATTAAAAACCTGTGGTTAAACTGTTAAACGGGACGGTCATTTGTAAACTCTGACAGGTGGAGCGAGTGAGAAGGACTTTTAGGGGGATTTTGCTGAGTTAGTCTGGAGTTTTCCTTCCGTTTGCTGCCATTTTAACCTTGTGGTAGACAGAGCTGTCTCATTTATCAACAATGAACTCAAGAGCTTACCATAAGCGTGGAATTTGCAAGCAAGAAAACTTGCTGTGTAAAAGCTTGGTGACTTAATTTCAGGAGACACAGGAGGTCGGTCTTAACCCCCCACTTCCTGCAAGTCACAACACATTTCCTGTCCGTTTGCATGCACAAGCACAAACAAGGAAAGATAACTATTCTTTTCATGCATAAGATGCCTACTAAATGGTGTGTCTGTTGGTTGTGCTGTGCACCATAATTACATCCACAGTGGCTTTCTCTGTGGCCCCAATTATAATTAAGATTTGTTTATACATTGTCTGAGGTAATATTTTGGCTCATTCTTCCTGCTTCCCAGCGGGATAGTCTGCAGACACCCAGGCCGTCAAGAGTCTCAGTTATAAACGACAACCACAATAACAAGAAATGCTGTGTGTAAGAAATACAACAATGGATACTTGTGTTATAGTTAGAGTGGATTGATAAGCAAAAAAAATATGCAGGGAGAAATTAATTGTTTGTGGTGTCCCCCTTCCTGTATTTCTGTCTGGTTCTGTGGCTATCCCAGTTTCAATGCTGTCTCACGTCCATCCTCTCCTAACAATAGACGGAGCAGGGGGAGAAGTGGAGGGGCAAGAGGACGCAGCACAGTAGGGGTTTGGACAGGGCACTGTGTGTGTGTGTGTGTGTGTGTGTGTGTGTGTGTGTGTGTGTGTGTGTGTGTGTGTGTGTGTGTGTGTGTGTGAGAACGCGCACGCTTGTCTTGTGCCCCTTAAGGCCAGCTGATAGGCATCTTTACCACTGTACATCATACAATGCAGATCCCCACGGTCTGTGTTCAAATATAGAACGGAAAGATAAGGAAAACCAGCTGAGAGCAAAGTAATGTGTGCAATAGAATGAGAAAACGGAGAGATTAGGAGATGAAGATGAGAGAGCGGTAAACATGACACGCAGACAAAATGTTTCCAGGTTTTTTAACACACTGTCTGGCTGTCAGTCACATGCATAGGCAGATACACACACAGATATAGGCAGACATACTGTAGTCAAAGGCTACATTCATGCAAATACATTTTAGCTTTAAAATGCATCATTTTTTGTACGTTTATACCTGGCGTCCATACTCCGCAGTTTTTGAGCCCATTTTAGTCTCGATGGGCAAAAACTGAGACTTTTGGAAATGCTCCTGGTTTGAAAACTTCTGAGTTACGTTTTAGTCTGTACAGGCAGAAGAAACTGAGACTTTTGGAAAAGGTGACGCCCACACTCACTTCCTGATTGGGCCTCATCAGTCATGATATATCCTTGACCGCCTTATACTCATGTGTTACCTTCAGTAACAGTTCCACCTCGTCATCGCTCCAAGCAAAGAAATCCCTGGCCTTACTTTTCGCCATTGCTGTTTCTCGCCCGTAGCAGTTTCTGCAACTTAAGCAACCAACTGGAGAGTAGACAATCTGCTTCCTGTTGACATGGGCACACGCACGTCCAGTGTACGTGAATGGTTGTGTGATATAGATTTTCAGGCTTGTTAGTATGGACGGAGATTATTTCTGATATGGAGCTAAAAACGCTCGTCTGGAGATATTTTTCATTTTAAAACACTGTTTTAAAATGAAAATGTATTAGTGTGGACGTAGCCATAGAGTTGGCCTGTTTGGCTCATATCCAAGGCCTTGCTATGAAATCAGCTTGGGAAAGCAGCAGGGGCCCTGAACAGGACACAGAAACAGAAACAGAGAGAGAAAAAGAGTGAGGGAGACTGCCGAGTCCAGATAAAATTCCATTGTTTATTTGCCCGACCCTCTCCCTCCCTCCTCCCCTCCATACATCCCTTCCTTTACCATCAACCTTTCCTTTCCTACTTCAATGGGAACCGGGCAAAGCCCTTCCAAAGCCTACAAGGTCAAGGCAGCATGTCAGTCATTGTGAAATCCCCATATTGCTCAAACCAAACACTTCATGTCAGATCTGGCAACCCTACAGTGCTGGAAACAAATTGGCTGTACATGAATAATCTCTGCTCCACATCTGTAGAGCGCAAGACATGGATCAGTTCAGCAAGAAAGAGAAAGAGGGGCTAAGGATTAAAAACCAGTACCCCTCCGTCCTTGCTTCCTATCCTTCACTCCCTCCTCCATCATACTTTTCTCCCCGCAACTCCAGAGCTAAATGGGAATGAAAGAGAGAGAATGAAAGGGAGAAATAAAACAGTGAAGGACATGGAGGAAGAAAGCAGCCAAGTTTGCCATTCCAGAAAGAGCTGACTAAATGTGCAGTGGTGCATTAAATTGATTACAGGCAAGGCTTTGGCACATGCTATAGGGAGCCACATCTTGTAGGGGGGATAGGGTCCTCAACGCAGCCAGGGCACAGAAAGAAAAAGAAGAAAACGAATAATCTTTGGGTTAGCTTAGCTTTGCAGCATATAATTCTCATTTTGAGCTATCATGTTCTCTCCTTGTCCCGGTTTTACGTAAAACCTCACTCATAACGATGAGAAGCGGTTTAGGAGCTGCCACTTTTCGTTTGCTTTCTGTATTTGACTCCATGTCCTGATAACTGTGAAATGCAGCGTGGGCTGTGAGCGACTTTGCCCTTTTTAGGTATTTTTGAAATGACAGAGAGTAAAAGAGTACAGTCTGGGGAAGAACAAGCGAGGGATGGTGGTGATGTCATGATGTTAGCTGTTGCTGCAGAGCTGGACAGAGGGACGGATGGATAGAGGGGAGGATGAAATCTTTATGAGAAGCAGCTGTTGGGGAGAGGCAGGCAGGCAGGCCTCCAGAGCACTATAGCAGCAGCCAGCCAACAGCTCGTGACAACAACCCAGAGGCCTGATAAAGCGAGCTACGAAACACTGACAGCACCACCTGCATACAGTGTGATAAAGCTAATTCAACCCCAACTGCAAAACTTTGTCTGATTATCACCACACGTTTTCACTTCAAGATAATGTTTGGAGCTCAACCAACACAAAGGCCAACTGACAATCTCACTGTCGGAGTTGATGTTGTCTACACTTGCATTGCGTTGCACAATGAACATTTTACACTTCCTCACTGACGGTAGAATACACACAAGTCGTGATAACAGAGCTGTTATAAACCGACTCCTAAGTGACACAGCCTGAAGAATATCTGGTGTGTGTGCAAGTGTGTGTCATCACATTGCCATTGAATGAGTCCAGGCAGATTCTTGGACCTACCTTTGTCTTCCAACACTGTGTGAGATCAGTATGAGAAGAAAGCAGTGAGGCAAAGAGTCATCTCCGAAACAGCCTGTATGTGTGTGTGTGTGGTGCGTGTGTAGCGGAGTAATCGGCGTGCTGGCTAACATACTGTACACAAGTGTGCCAAGTCTTTGTGAATCCGGGATTCATTTACAACTCTATGACTAGACCAAGGTCAAATAGTATTTGGTTTACGCAGGGTGCCAGATGTGTTTGGAGTCAATGTGGGGATGTGTCCCGTGGAGAAAGGTCCAACTGCAGACCTGATGTCTGAGGACCCCGGTCCTGTGAGCCAATGGGAAGAGAGTATAGGGTCCCTAGGCGTGAGGTCTGACAGTGAAACTAATTATAATCATTCCAACCCAAATGGCTCTCTAGACTGAAATTAGTATTATTTATAAATATGTACTTGTAGTCTCAGATCAGTTTCTTTAACCTTACAGTCACTTTTCTATTTTTTTTTTCACACCAGGGGCCTGGCTGTCCTGATAGCGTTGTGAGTTGACTTGGCTATTTGTCCATCTGTCCATCTGAAAATTAGCAAAAACATTCATGGTCCTTTAAGGATTGATTTTAATACGTTGAGAAGATCTTGACTCCTCATTTAACGGGTCAAATTTTCCAATGCCAACACTTCAGTTCATCACTTTACTATGACAGAATACCTCTGAATGGAATGAATGAATGTAGTGAAGTACTGTTGACAAGGCCACTAAACCCAAAGCTGCTGTTATGTTTCATCAGAAGTGCTTGTCAGATGGCCAAACAGATTTAGAAACTTACTCCCACCTTTCAGCCTAATGTAGGAAGTGGGAGAGGGGGCTGTGTCTGATGATTTCTGTAACTTTCCAAAACTGAAAATTCAATCTTCATATTCACTCCCCACAGTGACTGGCCAGGTGTGTGGTTTGAACTTCTCTCTGTGCCTCTCTTTATTTGTTATTTACACATCTTTTTTCTGCCACTCTTGTTGGGTATAAACATGTGCAACACTATGCATGTTCTCCAGAGATGTTCATCGTCAGATGTTCAGACCTAACGTCGTACGAACTAAATCTTATCCTGACGCTAGGTCTGACAAACAACAGCATGGGCCAAAGGGTCCGAAAAAGCAGGGCTAAGATGTTCTATAGTAGCCACTGCACAGAGGATAAACCACTTTGATAAAAAAAAAACAAAGTTTTCTCTGCATTTTTTTTCCATTTAACATCTTTGTTTTCTGGTGGGTAGTGAAGTAGTAAAAATATTTACTCACATATACAGATCCCCAGTGATTTGTTCTCTCCACTTTCATCTTTAGTTTACATTTTTAGAATAATCAGTGCTACTCGATAACTCAGATCCTATTTATCATAGCAACACAACACCATGCCTCAGCCATTAAAGCTGCACAACCAACACAAACAAGAACATCCCATGGTCAGTGGTATATGTAAGGGCATGTTTACAAGAATCTGTCCATTGCCAGATACCCAGTGTCCGTCTGCTGATAGAAATCTCCTGCAAGGTTTGTTATGTAACTGATGCTCGGCTCTGATGCCCTGCCTCTGACCCAGACTGCTGCTATCTCTATCTAGTGAAGGCTTCAAGGCGTTTAGGATTGTGTGCCGTTCACCGAGCATCAATCCTTTTTCATCTTAGGCCAAGACAGGAGGCTATCCTTTATGAAATATATTTGTGTAATGTTTTTTTATCTGAAGGTCTTTAGATAAATAAACTAAAACTTACAACAGGTGAGTCTGAAAATGGAAGGTTAAAATTTTTTAAACCTGTCATGTGTTTTTTTTTTTTTAAATGTATAAATATCTCTTTGTATATCAAACAGAATTATCATGAGTCATATCCGTGCGCACTTTCTGTTGCCGTCTTCTCCACCCAGCACTCAGCCACACAGCTGCTGATCAACAGCGCGGCTTCCTTTGCCGCAGCGTGCGCGGCCTGTCACACCTCGCAGGGCAGAGGCTGAAGGGGGGGGCGGAGCATGTAGAGGTCTTTTGGGTCGCCGTTTCTCATGATGTTTTTATTGGCTTCAGCAGATGGCTTCCCTCAGCCTCTGCATTGTTATGGTGGCCATCTTGCTCTGGGTGTTAGGGTTAACAATAGTTGCCAATAGCTGTAGGAGACAAAAGCCTTTCGCTGCTCCTGAAAAGAGTTGCTTCAGTAACCGAACGCTGTTAAACTGGCAACGCTGTCGGATTTACTGCTTTTACGAGATGTTAAGACACCATTGCTTGTCCGGTTCAGGCGAGTGCTGCGAAGCACTGTGTTGCATGACTCAAGTTTGAGACACGTTCAAACTCAATAAATCAGAAAAGTGTGAAAATACCAAATGACCTTTTAAGGTATTACTAGAATCTCCGCTGAGCAGCACTTTCTGTTATGGCCTTGGGCTCTAAACAATGAAGTGGGACAGCCTAAAAGCCTGCACTGTTTTCACAGCGCAACAGTACACTTATATTATTCTTTGCAATATCCACTTTCCTCTTTAGTTTTGACAACCCCTGTATCCCCCAACCCCCTCTCCTCTTCCATTTGCTCCCTCTGTTCATATCTCCCATCTTTCCTCTCCCCCCTGTGATATGCAACACCCTTCCCAACCCAGAAAAAAATCAAACTGTAAACCTAGGAGGCTCTATACATTCTTTACAGTCCCGCTTGCTCACCCGACCCCCCCACCCCCCTTTCCATGCAGGATTTCTGTTCTTCATTTCTGTTTTGGTTTTTAGCGAGGAGAAAAAAAAATCAAGAGCGAGAGGAAGGAAAAAAATCGGTTGATGTTTCCCCTCAAACATGTGACCTCTGCTTGGCTCACAGCTGAAAATAATTTGAGGCTACAAGCTAGTGGATGGCTGACGCAAACCTTCCTCCTCCTTTTTCTCCTCTCTCTGGGGGGCTAGGCCTTGGACTGATTGAGGGGAGGGTGGGGGTAAAGACAAAGCAACAGAGGGCTGTAAGTTGAGCTGTGAGCAAAACTAGAAGCTAAAAGATGACATATTGTGCTTTTAGTTCTTGTCAGATGAGACCTCAACTTTTCCGTAGTGTCGTTTTGTTCTTTTATTCTGGAGGAGAAAAGCGTACAAGCCCAGATTCACTCCAAAACACTGGACCCGGAGGGCCAATTATGTTGTTAGCTCAGGGAAGAGTTCAGCTATTTGGCTGCAATTTTTTTTTTTTTTTTTTTTTTACATAATCTAATGAAATTGGGGCTTTTTCTCTGTCTTGCCTCACTGCCAGTTGGGACAACAATTTGTGGAATTCAGCAGAATTGGGCTCACATTCCCTACATAGTCGGGGGTCAGGGGAGAAAAGTGTCAGTGTTAGCTAATACTGGTTTATAGGCAGAAGGATAGAGGGGGGGTTTGGGGCGTGCAGTGCTCAGGAAATATTTAACGGCCCACGAATACCCTAAAGTATCCTAGCACATCTGGTAGAAGTCACTCATACACACACACATCCATATGTTGGTGTGGAGTACGCACTGTTTGGCTGGACGTGCAGGTCTATGTAGGTGTGTTTTCATATGAGGTTTTACAGCCGGGTGGCAAAGCGTGTATTAGTGTCTCTGTGAATTTACTTAAGAGCAAATGTGTGAATATCTGCCAACAGGCCCTGACCTAGCCTCCTCTCTTATGTTAACCACATCTGTACCAAGCAGAGGCCAGGCCCTTCTGCTCCGTGCCAGCCCCCCCACCAGCGTTTATAGACCAAGTCATGAGCAGCGCACACCACCGGCTCTAATTTGATGTTACATACGGATGGCCTTGCTACGCTCCAAGTGGATCTGGTTTCATTATTCTCTGACAAATGGACCAAGTAATAATTTCAAACTGGCCAAGCATGTCCTCTCCTCTCACACTCTCCTTGGCACAACTTGTCCGAAATAAAGAACAGAGGGGGAAATGTGTTGCTCTGGAAAGCACACAACACATTAAGGAAGTTATTTTCTGGAATGAAAGGAGAGTTTGCAGAGAGGCTCCCAAGTGCGAAAGCAAAATGTGTGAGCAGTACTTGTCTTGAAATCACTCCAGAAATCTGTTAGGACAAGTGCAAAAAGACAAGATGGTGAGTGATAACCTCAAAGACTTTAATTCAGTGCCCTTCTCTGGCTTCCAGCTGCCACTGATGTTTGCCTAATGGAGCTTAATTATATTACAATGTGGAGTTTCCAGTATTTTCCATAGTGCCACATGGGTGCTGGAACCTAATGTGTGTTTATGCCTGCTGGCTAGCCATTGTTCAAGCTTTGATTTCAGCTGTATCCTCCAATTACTAGTTAAAAGGGGACTGGCATTTTTGGGGGGGGTGCCATGCAACTCGTGAGGTCTGCTTCTCTGCTGTTTGGTTCAGAAACTAGTTTTGCAAGCCACAAAGAGGTTTGAGCTGTTCAGTAGTGTACATTCACACACTAGAGCCTGAAGTTTCCCCAAGGGAGTCCTGGGGAAGCAGCTCTTCTTTTGACCCGTCCGTCATTTGTCAGTCTATATGTCCGCCTATTTTTGTGTATCGTCTCCATATATTTAGTAAAAAACGTACAAGCTGGAATATATTCAACTGTCTGGTCTGTAACACTCAGCAATGCTTTCCTTTGCAGCTTCCTGTCCTCTAAGCTCAAATATAAGCCTGTTTTGCCCTTGCATCCACTGTGCGCTCGCGCCATTATACAATTATATTCCTAACTGACTGTCTCTTTCTTTGTGTGACTATGCAGGATGCCAGCTGCTAGCACCATGACTGGTGGGAGGGCCCTGCTGCTCTGTACAAACACTGACAACTGTATCTACCAATCAGTCAACGGGTAGGTGAAGCCAATTTATTAATCCTATTAATCCTACTGTCCTCAGCAAGGTATTCGTAGCGACCATTTAAAGGAGCTGTTGTAGCTAATGTTAGCATGAACAGCTGTTTATTTACCAGTCTAGAGGACACATGTGAGTTCAGCATCAAACTTCATTACTTTACTCACCAAGAGCTGTCTCCAGCGGTGGAAAGCAACGCCAACATTATTGATTATTGTAGTAAGAAACATCCAATTCAAATGTTCAACACTCGCTCCCACATGCTGGAAGGTGGAGCTTTTTGTAGAACATGTTAAATCACGGTTAGAACCGACAGATTTTCAGATTGTGGATAAATGCAGCATTTATGATGCAACGTCTTGCTTCCAAATGCCTGGATGATTGATGATTTTGCGGTTCTGGTTTCTGTCCTCTGCATAGTAACAGTCAATGAGGCTCATGAGTACTGTAGTATTGAGTGTCATTTTGGACCTAACAAGCTGACAAAAAAAACGCATCTTGTCAGAAATGAAAATGGAAATACCTCTAAAACTAGCAGATACACGATGTGATAAAACCTGTGAGCCTGCACTAGTTCACTTTTCCTTTTCTTGACTTTACGTGTTGCTTGGGCCTGAGCTGCACTTTTCCAATAATCATCAAAAAAATTCTGTATTGCCCTTAAGCAAGTGGTAGACGCCCCTTTCCATTAGGGTCAGCAGCATAACAATAGCGGGGCGAGAGAGCAGAGCAGGGCAGAGTTGGCCATCTGGCATCTGGATACTGTTACTGGCCCCCTGCTGCCACCGTCTAATGCTTCTGTGACCACTCTCTGTGGTCCCTTCTGTCATCATTGTAATATTCATTAGTGCTATTTAGATTATAATGAAGGGATTTTGTTTTGTGCCGATGAGGGATTGTCTGGTGGAAGATTTAACCGTCTGTTGTTTTTAGGGTTTATCATGTTACCATTGCTCAGAAGTTCAATACGTTTCTCTTGAGTAATTGTCAAAAGTTGGAATATCATTGAAAGAAGTTAGTTTTGTCTCTGTGTTCTTTCTTCTCGCCCATCTCAAACCCTTCCCCTTATCCGCTGGTCCTGTGTTAGCGCAGCTGGTCAGAGATGCTTTTGTGCCCTTGTACCCTCTTCCCTCCCTCCGCCCTCCATGACCCTCATCTCCATCCTCCACCCATCCATGGCCACGGATGATAGACAAGCTTCCGTAGTGTGTATTTCATAAGTATCTGCTCCTTAATCACCCTCTGTCTCTCTCCATCACAATCACAGTGGGAGTGGGAGGGGGTATTGATTTCCTCCTCTATCTGCTCCACTTTTTCTGTTACTCCTTCACTTGACCCCCCCTTGCCTTTTCCTGTTCTCCTTTGCTTGGCTTTTCTATTTGACCTAGTTTTTCCCCTCTGTTGCTTCATGCTTAATAAAAAATGCTGTTTTCACCAAGAGACACAGAGGGAGAATGAAATGGGGGAGAGAGAGTGGGGGAGAGGGGCTAAACTAATAAAACCTAGAGTAATTTGGAAGATAATTATTTGGTTTCCTCATTGGTCATAGTTACGACATGAATTTTTTTTTTTTTCCTTTTCTTTAAAGGTCTCCGAGGAAAAAAATTGAATTAGTAATTTCCCCCTGAGATTTCCTCAAGATTGCATGACCGTTGGTTTTCACATCCAGCGATGTCATCAGAAGTCACCCAGCAAGGCCACATTTCCTCTGTTTGTTGGAAACACAATCATTTGAAGAATAGGCTCAGGCCAAAACAGAGTTTTTGCGGGTTTGGGAGTCGAAAAGAAAAGATGCACGTCTACACTTTGTCCTCTCGCTCCTCTGTGTATACTTTTGTCTCCTCTCCAGAAATAGCTGTGTGCGTAGCTTGTAAACTTTGACCCTCAAACCCAGAGTTCAAACAGTCATGACCCAGTAATCTTCCAGGATTGACTCACAGCTACAGCAGAGCCACCAAACAGACGTCTGAACTCTTTTAACAAGAATTCTTGTTTACCCCATAAACAAAGATCTATTTGGACATAATTGTAAGAGCTCACATTGTGTGGCCAATTTTAAGAGCCATGGGGAGAATTGATGCTTTGCTATTTTCACTGAAGGCAGAGACTGACATTTCTATGAAAATAATTGCACTATAAATTGTTAGAGTTGGCAACAGTGCAATGTACGTTCTCCCTCTGTTTATCTGGAATGAATTAAGTACACATCAGCAGTGGCCCAGTTGTTAATACTGGCCCCTAAACCAAGAGAAGACTGCATGCATGTTCTGTCTGGTTGTATGGGTTTTACAGTCTGTGTCCATCTTGTGTGTCATAGGTGGCCTTTCAGCCTGTTCATCGTGAAATACACTTCACCCTCTTACTGCAAAACTGACAGCTCACATAAGTTATGATACCTTATTTTAGGACGATCAAATAATTTGTTTCCGTAGCAAAGAAAATGTATTTTTAGCAGGTTCATAGATCCTTCCTTGTAGTCCTGGTTTGAAAAAGCCGAATTAAAAGACGACTAATCTCATTTCAAGCATCTATGTTGTATCTACAGTATATATGTTGATATCAGATATGTTGTCTGAATTTCTCAAGTTTTATTGTTTATATCAATTTGTTTTTACTAGTTTGATGGTCAGAAAGCATTTTCATAGGGGCCTGATTTGTGTTCTACTTTCAAGAAATCTTTAAAGTAATTTTTGATTTGCAATTTTTTGCTCAGTACCTTTGGTTTTTGTTAAAAAGGCTATTTGTAAGTTTTGCTATTGCTACATAGCTAATGTTAGCATGAACTACTGTTTACTTACCAGTCTAGAAGAAATGTTGTGAGTTCAGCATCAACCTTCATTCCTTTACTCTTCTATTGAAGTTAGCATGCAAACCAGCTAGTCCCGGCTTATTATTATCAACATACGAGAGCATTGTATGTTTAATTTTTTATTAATATTAATAAATGATATATAATATTTGTTAATATACTATCTCTTCACACATATGGATGCAGTACCCTGTGTTCCCTTGCCTTTCCTCTTGTTTTGTGTTGCCTCTGCGTATAATTGAAGTACAGTTGTGTATTGTAAATCCATGTAGGGAAACCTTTGAGTGTAAGACACATGAATAGAAAATTAATTAATTCATGTATTCATTTATTAGATTACAGAATACATTGTTTATTTGTGGTTTGCTTGTTTTCCTTTAAAGGGTTAAACAAGTAGAGAAACATGACACATCATGCCAGTGTGTATGTTAACTGTTCTGTGTGTGTTTCTTTCCCAGGCTCCAGTGCTGTGGCTTGAAGGTTGGGGAGGCTCCCTCATCTTCGGTGCCCCAGCCCCAAGAGGTGTTCGGGTCACCGGGGAACAGAAACGGGAGGGACACTGTGTCTTCCAAGCGTCCCCTCTCACCCTTACTCAGCCTGAGCGACAGCCCGGGTCCTCCTGACACCATGTTGGCTCACAGGAGAGCCAGCAACACCACCGACCCGCGGACATCCAGCATGGAGAACGGACTGTGTGGCAAACTGAACCACAGCAAGAGCCCAGCAGGAGTCAAGAGTGCAAGCATCCGCGATAAGATCTCACAATGGGAGGGCAAAAAGGAACCTGCCCAACTTACCTCTACAGGGACATGTCCACTGAGCACGACACAAAAAGAAGTTGAGACAGTGAGGAAAAAGGAATCTAAAGTTTCAGAGGTCCAAAGGACAGATTGCAAGCGGTTTGTCAGCTGGGACAGACAAGACTCAGGGAAGGAGAATGTCGGAAAGCTTGGGGATTCAAGGCCGAAATCTCCAGAAGGCCCAACAAACAAAGACAGAGAAGTGATACTAGAGAGAGGGTTTCGGGCTTCTAAGCCAACAGAGCAACCCCTCGACAAGAAAACTGTTTTAACTCATGTTAAGAAACTGGAGAAGGCAACAAAGGAAGTTCCTGACAGACCTTCACTTGCATTTCCAGGGAATTACTTCTGTCCTCCTTCAAAGGAGGAGGTGGAAGAAACAGAAAAGAGGGCCGGCGAGCCCATTTTTGGGAGTTTTGACGTCCCTCGGCCCAGTGGGTCACGGAGGAGGAGGGAGGGGGATCCAGAGAACGTATACAGCGAGCCAGGTGCTCCATCTATAAACCCTCTACCTAAACCTCAGAGAACCTTCCAGCACCACACACCGCCCGCTACCCCAACTTCAGGGGCCGGCTCGGGGAAGGGAAAGAGGAACTTGCCCCCTTTGCCCTCCATTCCTCCTCCACCTTTACCAACATGCCCACCACCTGGAGTGTGCAGGAGACCCTGGGCTGACAAACCCCGGGACAGCAGTAACAGGTAGGAGACTGAGAAGTAAGGACGTTAGCATAGGCAGCCATGATTAGTTTTGACCATCCGTTCTGCAGCAGAAACCCAGCCTAGACCTAAACACCTTTACTGACGCCACCGAGACATGTTGTCTTCTCCGAACTCCAAAGCTAAATTTACAGAAATAAATTGTTTATAGAATCTTCTCCTGAAGTCACAGTTAACAAGTAATGGCCCTGTGTATCCTCTAACCCTTTCCCACTCCACCACCAACCAAACACTGAGGTGAACAACGTCTCCCACATCTGCTGTAAATCAAAACCACGGATGACATCATCCTGTTTCTAAATATCTCACAGAATGAGCTCATTGGTTGGATCAGAGGAATGCTCACTTCAACACAACTCATTCCTTCTCCCAAAACTCTACTGGAAAAGGAGAACAACATGCAGAGTGCATGCATTCATTTTTGCAAGAGTTTGATCTTGAGTTTTATCTAAATGTAAAAAATGAATGTTCTTCTAAGTGTAAAGTGTGATCCAGAATCTGAAACAGTTATTCTGACATGAGCAATTAACATGTTGGAATTTGCTAAAACTCCTTTAAGTAGCGCTTGAATTCAGATGGTTTCAATCAAACAAATAGGGCTCTGTATGGAAACCAGAAAATGTGAACTCTGCAGTATTGGACTACATCTATTGTTCGCTTTTTCCAGTGGTCTGAATTCTTGTTTGGAGCTTGGCTTGGATCGGTTACATTCCATACCATATGTGGAGGCCTCACTCCGCTCGAGTGTGCTGTGTCAAGCCCTTTTGTTTGGCCAGGCTGTCTGTCTGTGAGGGTCCATTGCAGTGGGCATTTCTGTGCATGGGCCTGTGAGTGAACAAATACACAGTTACCCAATTATTAGGTACACTGAGCTTCATCCAGTGCCATGCAGCATGTCTGCAATAAGTCCTACTTTTATAAGGATTGCAATGTTGATGGTCAATTATTTTGTTCAACTTTATTTTGTATATCAGTGACCATGCACAGTAATTGACTTAATTATGATGTGCCAGATTAAGGGAAATGGCAAATTCCAATATGCACTAGGAAAGTTAAAGGAGCTATTTGTAAGTTTTGCTATTGCCACATGTCAGCTGCTAATGTTAGCATCAACAGCTGTTTACTTACCAGTCTAGAAGAAACATTTAGTTCAGGATCAAACTTCATTCCAATAGCTGTCTCCAGCAGTGGAAAGTAACAATGTTAACTCTTTTCTCTATCAAATCTTTTCTTCTATTGAAGTTAGCATGCTAACCAGCTAACCCAGGCCTGGACTTGCTGTAGCCTCCGATCTACCTTGAAGACGTAGCGCTGCTCAGAGGGCCTATAATAACCTTTTGTCTTGTAAACGCAATGATGGCTAAAGCTCTTGTCAAGCAACAATCACCACCACTCGCTCCTGGAAAGAAACCATGTTCGGCGGTAGAAAAAAAAAAACAGACAAAATAAGACAAAAGGCAGACATATTTAAAAATAATATAGCAGCATACAGCATAAAGGAAAAAGGCGTACTCTGTGGTTGTATGACATTCTGTTATAATATGCTGTGTCAAATCAGAGCGAAGAAAACATTCACAATAATTCAATCCAACACAGCAACACCACAGAGAAGAAAACTGAATATAATAAGCTCCATAAACATAGGATTTATCGCAGGGCATTGTATTGCATTGGATGTAGCAAGCTGTATCTAATAAAGCGGCAACTTAGTTTAATTGTACGTATGTGCATGCATGTGGGGGCATGTGGGGATGCATGCAACCATAGATCCTTCTGTACACTTTATTCTACTGGGCTTTAATCTTCAGCTGTGATGAAACACAGATGTACTCATTCAGATGTGGCAACTAGAAAAATGGTAACATCAGTTTTGCAGCTTGGCGTACAGTATCATTTTTTAAAAGCATCAACATGAACACACATTCACTCCGGGATATCAGTCAGAAATCCTTCCTTCCTATCCTTTTGTATTTGGCGTGCAACTCTCCTAAAATTTTATGCTACTCTGTCCATCAGGAAGTCGTATGAATTCGAGGATCTGCTCCAGTCGTCTACAGAGAGCTGCAGGGTGGACTGGTACGCTCAGTCCAGACTGGGCCTAACACGCACTTTATCAGAAGAGAATGTCTACGAGGACATAATAGGTAAACATACGCTTTTATTTTTCCTTAAACAAGTGGAATATTTCACAGTGCTGCCCCTGTTGAGTGTTTCCTTGTCAGCTTTGCAAATACAAATCAGTTTATAGCATACAACGACTGAAACAATCTTGTTCTATACTGAACTGCAGGCGTATGTGGTCCTATTTTTAATGCCCTTCATACACTGCATGACCCCTGAAGTTTCATCTCTCATACCAGCGTGTGTGTCATAGAGTTCAGTAACAGAGGTGATGAGGAGGCCAAGCTGTCTTTTCTCTGCTCTGTTTTTTTCTGATCCACTTTTAATTTAGAGCAACGCTGCTTCACTTTTATTAAAAATTATACGTAGAAACCTGACCTTCCTTCCTACCTTATTGTCTGGTGGGTTATGCCAACCCCACCTAGAGCCTGTTTAATTTCATAAGGTACAATAGCGGCGTTGTGTGAGGTCGTAATGTAGCTTAAGTTGGCTACTGAAATTGTCAGTGCAGCAGGGGGGCATGTGAATGGCTCAGAGCCACGGCATGTTACTGGCAATAGCTTCAATGTGTCTTTGGTTTTCATCCCTGAAGCTGGTGTGTGAATGCTGCGTGCTGGCAACAATCAAATTAAGTTTCATTATGTTCGAGCGATGCCACAGCTTATTTTGGATCCTTTTTATGGTTTCCTCCTTTCATTACAGTCACGTTGTTCTTTAAAATGCTGTTCAACAGGCACTCAGCAGTGTCCCGTGGGTAAAGTAACTCAGACCCTCTATACTGCAGCTTTAGCTGCAGCTCGGGGAAGCAGAGATATGGATAGTGTAGACAGTCATCAACCCCCACATGCAAACCAAGTTTCATCAACACACTTTAAACAGACAATTTACATGACTGATACTGTTTACAGATCCAGAGGAAAGCAACTGTCATCAGGACATGTATTCGGACGCACGTCTTGATGACTGACGCAAACTCACGAGTGAACACACACACAAACACACGTGGAGATTGGTGTCAGGTTCTCATCAGCCAACAATGTGAAAAACAGTACACTGATCCCTTGTTTTCCTCAGAGGGAGAAGGAGCAGGGAACTGAACGTCCCTTTTTATCCTCCTACTCCTACAGGTCACATCTGGTGGATGGATTGATGTAGCAGAGGAGAGATACAGACAGACAGACAGAGACAAAGAGAGAAAAGAGGCATAGGTTTTGGAAAATGAAACTGCCTCGCTCGTTATCTGCAGGGGAGGGCGAGTGGCTATAGAGTTACATTTAGCTTTAGCTGTGCAAGCATCTTATCACAGTAAAATATGAGCTGGGTAAGCAGACCGGCCTCCTCTGGTAGCTCTCCGCACATCTGGAGTAGGAATCGTCTGGCAAAACAAACATGACTGATATGGAAAGAATACTTTATCTGCTCTTTCGAAAAAGCGTGTGTGAGGCTGTTGTGTAATCCAGGTGACACTGATTTATTCCTTCTTTTTTCCTTTTGAAGATCCTCCATCCAAGGAGAACCCTTATGAAGATATAGAGCTGGAGAGAAGTTGTTTGGGAAGCAAATGTGTTTCACCTGCCTCCTCATCTCCTGTCCCTGACACGCCAACTAAGGTACCTGATTGCCATTACATCACTATAAAAACAAAGGAGATTTAATGGGACCAGTTCTACATTAAAACCACTTTCTAAAGTGTCTATCTGCTCCACCCCCCCCCCCCCCCCCCCCCCCCCCCCCCACCAGCTCTCCTCCAAGCCCGGCTTCTTCAGACAAAACTCAGAACGGCGAAGTTTTAAGCTCCTCGAACTACGCAAGACCGGCAGGGACACTGGCATCTCCTCACCCTCCCGTGTCAGCCCGCCCTCCACACCCAGCAGCCCCGACGACACCCCCTGCCTCTCAGGAGACCCGTACAATCGCAGACGGAGGAAAATCCCCAAGGTATGGGAGTCTGAGAGGCATCTCACCAAGCCCCTTCTACTCTGTCTGTCTGTTATTTACGGTCCAGCGTACTGCTCAGGGAGCTTCAGAGCTGGTCCACTCATGCTTCCGTCTGGGGATGAGTAAGGCAGAGAAAAACTTTCTGACAGATATTTCCTGTGAGAAGTGTGTTCAGAGGAAGGCCTCCCAGAAGCTGTACTGAAGTGATCTTGGTAGGAGCCTGGCAGATGTTTGTTTACTCGCTTAAGGAGTTAAAGATGGACATTTCTTTCTCTTTACCTCCTCCAGATGGTGCTGAAAATCAATGGCATCTTTGAGGCACGAAGAGGGAAGAAACGCATGAAGAGAGTGTCTCAGTCGACCGAGTCCAGCTCAGGGAGAGGTGAGGCCTCAAATATGACAGCAGGGCCACAAGAAAGACCATTTATTTGTTTTGATCCTTTTTAACTTATAAAACACTATCCACTTTCTCAGTGTCTCCACAAAGGAGCTTGTGTTTGTGTTTCTTCATCTCAAACACTTATTTCAGTACAATTTGGTGAAAAAGTTAGGCCATGGGAACAAGTGATTAGTTTCTGGTGCAAAAACAGATCCAGGTGCAGATCCTGGTGCGGATCCAGGAATTCTTTTAAAAGCTTTCTTAACGCTGGTAGCCATGTCTTTCTAACATTTCCACATTTCCATCGTGTACTGCTGCGCCGGCATTCTGTGAATGTCTGTTATTCTGTGTTAGTTGATGCAAGTCTGTCTTTTCTTGATATTATATCATAGTTTGTCATCAATACTATCAACACTCTACCCAATGCAGGCATTTTTCAGCATGTTTTCTTTCCTACAGCCGTCAGTTTGACCAGAAAGACTTTACAGGTCTACCTCCATAAAAGCCATAATACCTCATCATATGTATTCACTTAGTTTTATGGGCAAGGTTACATTTTTGGGTCAGTTGAGACTGACCCGTGTATCAGAGGGCCGGGTGGTGTTGTGTGTGCCAGGAATGAAAGCAATGAGAGCGAATTCCATGTGCTCTGAGTTTCCTGTGATTGTTATTTGCAGTCTCCTCACACTGATTTTCTTTTCACCCTCTTTAATGTAGTGACAGATGAGAACAGTGAGTCGGAAAGTGACACGGAGGAGAAACTAAAAGGTGAGAAGAGAAAATAAATACTAACATATCCAGTAGCTTCATGCTACCTACTGTAGCAGTTATTTCATTACTTACAGATAATCGCAATAGTGGTGGGATGTGAGCTGATTCAGATCAGTTTTCTTTCTTTCCATTGTTCCACTGTATCGCTAAAATCAAAACATACACAGATGTAAATACAGATTTCGCTGTGGCCACACAGTGGCTCTCTGTGCATACATGCACAGATGGATGTGGATCTGTATGAAATGTGCGTCTCCCTCCCTCAGCCCACAGCCAGCGTCTGGTGTCGGTTCAGTCCATGCTAAGGCAGACGGGGCGGTACCGAACTTTGGAGAGGGATCTGATGGAGTTGCAGGAGAGGAAACTCTTTGAGTATTTCATAGTCGTTGCGCTTCACAAAACCAAGGCCGGAGTTCCATACCTGCCCGAGGTCACACAGCAGTTCCCTCTCAAGGTAAAAGAGGAGAGAAATGTTACTGAAGCGAAACGAGTCACTGGAAATTTTATGTTATAAAATGCTGGGAAGGAGACAGCATTTGATGACTGCTTTCCTATATGGATAGTGATAATTGAAGCTATGTATGTCAGTTTATGAACACATTTGGAGGAACAACAACAGCATGCGTACTAAACATACTAAAGGTAGTAACGCTGCAGTTTAAGGCTGGTGAAGAATGGTTATTAGGAAGAGGTTAACACAAATCGACGCAGTACAGTTTCAAATTTACCTCAGTTCCATAATCTCAATAGCAAAGCTGTGTGTAAAACACGATGGCCTGATATTTAAACAGCATGATCTTTCAGGCATCGTTAAATTAATTATTCATCGTCACATGTTCTCTTATTTTTACTAACCAGCTTGAGAGGAGCTTTAAGTTCATGCGGGAGACTGAGGACCAGCTGAAGGTCATCCCTCAGTTCTGTTTCCCTGACGCCAAAGACTGGGCACCTGTCGACAACTTCCCCAGGTGAGTCAGAGTCATAGAACATAAAAAAAAAGTAAAAATATACGGGGACGCAGGCATTTCTCGTCAGAGCGGTAATAGCTCAGCTGTTTTCCTTGCTAATAAGCACTTGTTAGTGGAGAAGATGAAAGCCCAGAATGGAAATGACCTTGTGGCTTGTGAAGACGACTCTCCTTTGTGTAACGATAAGACACTGACAATGACAAATGATTATAGGGAAAGAGGATGGATTTAGCACCTTACACCTGGTTTGCTATTACAAAGGCACCTCTTTTTTTATGCTGTTTATAATTGGCCCTATTACCCAAAACCTCTTGGCCTCTTGAGCGTCTGCATTGTTCCGAGAAGAGAGAATGTCTGTCTTGACAGTGATGGCTAATAATTACCCAGAGGCAAATGTTCGATGGTTGAGGGGCCACTAAATACACACCTGCAGACTGAGTCATTGAACTGGCTGACGCTCTCGCCTGTCAAGAAGGTCGTCACTGGTCAATGACTACCTGTCAGGCAGAGCTGAGGAAGCTTTATGTTGCTATTTGCAGATTAAAAGTGTCTTGAGGGTCCTTCCCTCTCAAGTACAAAGTCAGGCTTTTGTTTGCAGAAGTCCAGTCCAGAGTGGGATTCTCTGTTTCCACAACAGTCTTTTCTGTGTGATTTTTACAGCTCTAAATAGTTTCCAGCACGTCTCAATTATGTTGTTTTTTCTCTCTCTCTCTCTCTCTCTCTCTCTCTCTCTCTCTCTCTCTCTTATATCCTCAGTGAAACGTTCTCATTCGTCCTGACTGGTGAGGATGGAAGCAGGCGGTTCGGCTACTGTCGACGATTACTGGTAACAGTAACGATTTCCCTCATATTTCCTGAATTTGATGATAAAATGATGAGGAAAAAGATTTGTTCCTGAATGTAGCCTTAAAATCTCTGTGAAACAAAGGGCATGGGTTTGCTCCACTGGTCTAATCATAGGTTGTATTTGGATGAGCAGTCTTGTGTCACTCCGGTGTTTTGAAGCCGTCTGTCTTTTTCTCTCTGGCTGTTCATAGCCCAGTGGTAAAGGCCGAAGGCTCCCTGAGGTCTACTGCATCGTCAGCCGCCTGGGCTGCTTCGACCTCTTCTCCAAGGTACAGACAGTGACATAAACACGAGTTCACTCAAATCTGTTACTTGCATCCAGTGAAATCGCATTGCTTGGAATTGCATGTGTTGCGCAAACACATACATACAAGTTCAACCCCAGTAAAAACGTACAGAGCGGTACCACCCTCGACGCCCGCAGAGCTCCACCCACCCACTGGCTGCAGTACAGAGACGCATGTGAACTGCAGCTGATGTGGTTACTGCAGTGGAAAAGGTTCCCTGTAATGAGCCTCAGATTTATGTGTGTGTTGATCTGTATACCTAAATGTCTTTGAAGTGTACATCTGCCACTGGTAATGCGGGGTTTGTGCGGATACACCCATCGGCATAGGAGGGTAAATTCAGTTTATTGTTAAGATAGCAAATTGATTGATGGCTGCCTCTGCATTGAAAGGAGTAAGTGCTGATGATATTCTGTATGTGTTTTATCTGTATCAGATCAAGTTTAATATCATACAGATGCGTACAGTATGTGTGTAGAGGGGTACACATCATGGACGCAGGTTGTTAGTCATTTGATGTAGTGGCTTTAACGTGTTTGGCAGATGCTCCTGTATCTTATTCAGTCTCCTGGTGAGATTGAAAAAAGTTTATGATAATAATAGCGAGTGTGGTGCCATTACCTTGTATTTATGATGGCACCTGAATACAATGCCGTTGTAACTGTCAGCTACCTGATTCATTTCAACAGGAATTCCACTGTACAATAAATTAATTTTATAATGTTATTGACAAATTACATAAAGCGGGGGATGGACAATATGGATAAAATCATCTATCACATGTATTTACAAAATGATTTCACAGACAAGAAATGTCTGTTTTTGGTTGACCAAGCAACTAAAGCACGTGACAGGTTAAGGCGCTTCATGCTATAGTACTATAAAAATCCAATGAAAGCCATAAAGCACTTCTGTTCTTTGATTTGCAACTTAATAGCCTATAGTATATATATAGTGTGTGTGTGTGTGTGTGTATATATATATGTACATATACACACGTATTTATGTATGTATGTATTTGTGATTGCCAGTATTCAAGTTACAGAGCCTCCTTCTTTTCCTTTTCTCAGATCCTGGATGAAGTGGAAAAGAGGAGGGCTATCTCTCCTGCTCTGGTGCAGCCTTTTATGAGAGGGATCATGGAAGCTCCCTTCCCTGCTCCAGGAAGGACCATCACTGTCAAAAACTTCCTACCTGGCTCTGGGACAGAGGTAAAATGATGGTGGTGTCACTGTGGAAAGCAGCTTTCTTGGAGGCAAACTCCACATAATAAATCCGACTAAAAATGACATAAACTATCATATCAGTGGTTTTCTCTAGATGTGTGCAGTATTTACATTATTATCTGATTGTCCTTTCGTTTTCTCTGTCTTACCCACAGGTGATAGAGTTGTGTCGGCCGTCAGATTCCCGTCTGGAGCATGTGGACTTTGAATGTCTCTTCTCCTCCTTGAGTCTGCGTCTCCTTCTGCGAGTGTTTGCCTCTCTGCTGCTGGAGCGCAGGGTCATCTTCACCGCTGACAAACTCAGGTTGGTCTCCTGCAACATATCGTTACAGAGCACGGTAGTCGGTTTTCATACCCGAAGATCAGATGTTAAGTCCTTTCAGATGGAGCCGTTGCAGTATTTTAATTCATTCGTTTAATTCATCCATCATGATCAGATCAGTGAAAGAAGGTTTATGATGCTGAAAAGACCAAGAGGAAAGAGTCTGAAGGACATGACAGGCAGACCTCAAGTTGACAAGCAGTCTGAGGATAAGAAGATCTTGACCAAGTGTGAGAGGAAGGAATGCTGTTGTGTTATACAGTTGCCTTGGGAACAATCACTTCTCTGGAAAACTGTCATGGATGCCAGATAGAAGGAGTTAGGCTTTTAGAGCGAACACGAGTGCACAATGACGTCATCACACCCACGCAGTTCACTCAAAGCCTTTAACTCTAAAGCTATTATCGCTGTGGTCGGGGTCAAAGGGGTTTTTTTTGTTTTTTTACTGTTGTAGAGCTGGTTCAACTTGTGGGCTCAGAGGACTAGTCGTTGTAACCTGATGTAGTTCAAGAAACAACCCTGAGGTTTCAGCAGTATTAATACATTACAATATGTAGTTCTCAGAGTTCACTTATTGATAGATAGATAGATAGATAGATAGATAGATAGATAGATAGATAAAGCATCTATCTATCTATCTATCTGGATGGGCAAAAAAAAATAAAGATACCAACAAAATGTTGAAGCATTTGAAACATTTCTCACCAAAGCTCACAAGCACATCACAAGTCATTTTACATTCTCCACCGTGGTGTGGAAACTTGGCCTTGTCAATCAGTTTTTTAATGAATTAACTGTGAGCAGATGCACACGCGGGAGAGATTATCTTAACAGTGTGGGGCGAGTGTGTTTGCTGCCGCTGTATAGTTTTTATAAGTGTTACGTCACACTCCCCTAAAAGATGCTTTTGAACATTCCTCTCGGGGTAACAGTGGATTTGTTGGGGCAACAGAAATGAACTTTCAATATTATTTTCTAGACTAAGGAATGGGTGGCAGGAGAGACAGTTTTTTGAGGGGGGTATTTTAGCACCATCTTGTGGTAGAGATTAGACTCTTCATTAAAACATTACAATTCCAATAACCAGTTATTTGGTTTGCTTTGTTTGTTGGAAAGTCTTTTTGTGGTATATTTTCTAATTTCTTTGTATAACATTGAGTTTTTGAAAAAAAATCGAACTATAACTTATTATAACTATAATTAGCTATGGTAGATTTTATTGAATTAACATTATTAAGAACAAGAACTTCATCTTTCTTTTCACACATGCGTCTCATTAGGTCCATGTGCCTGCATGTGGTTAAACGTAACCACAAGTCACAAGACTCTAGCGCTGTGTTGACAGTGAACTTAAAAAGCTTCTTGCTATTTAGGATTTGACAGAATTTTCTGCTCAATCATCAGCTTTTCTTTTCTTTCTTCCATGTCAACAGTCTTGTGCTGTTCTGAATAAATCTTTCCTAACTAAATCTTGGTAGTCTTGCAAACATCAAAGTCCTCTTGTTTCTTTATTTTTCTCAGATGAATCTGATTCATAGACGTTTTTAATAGAGAACATTTTGAATCATAACAGGAAAAGCACTGGACCTAATAACATCAACAATGGCTTTGTTCTGGCAAGTAATGTTGGTATTTGTCATACCTCTGACAGGTAAACATGTCTGCTGTAAAAAACATAATATATTGTATATATAATGTGTTTAAAATATGCATTTTTTCAAAGGCTCTTTGTAAGATGGTTTTTCTACCATATTATTTCATCCAAAATAATATAAATAAGTTGTATGAGCATTAACCTCCTCATCTCTCTCTCTCTTTCCACAGCACATTGTCTCAGTGTTGTCATGCAGTCGTGGCTCTTCTCTACCCCTTCACCTGGCAGCATACGTACATCCCCGTGCTCCCGCCCTCCATGTTGGATATCGTCTGCACGCCTACACCCTTTATAGTCGGCCTCCTCTCCAGCTCTCTGCCTCGACTCAAAGAGCTGCCCATCGAAGAAGTAAGAACATTTTTATTGTTGTTTGTGACATGCAGACGGTGGTGCCCTTGAATCTCAACATTTCCTCCCCCTGAACAATAGCTCCAGGAAATGACATCACGCTCCCTCTGCTCTTCCCTCAGGTCCTGGTGGTCGACCTCGGCAACAGCCGCTTCCTACGACAGGTAGAAACCATAGAAACACACAGACAACAGTGAAAATCCATCTATCATCACAGACGTCGGCTCACCCTTTAACTCCGTAACATTCGTAGTGGCTCTACCAGATGTTATGTGAATAAAAAAAAATGTTAATTCACTGCAGTATGTTGACTGTGTTTACATCTGTGTTCTTGCCTCCACAGCTGGATGATGAGGACTCCATTCTTCCTCACAAGCTGCAGGCGGCTCTCGAACACGTGCTGGACAAGAGGAGGGAGCTGGCATGTGAGAAAGGAGATCTGCCCAATGGTGACTCAGCACTCTTATTACTGCTTCTGTTTAGATGCATTTATACAATATTTTTATGTTTTTATTCAGAATACTAAATATACTAAAGACAGTGCTGTAAAACAATCAAGAGTGAGGAATTAAAATCATTTTTTCAGAACATTTCCAGACACTTTCACTGACCTACTGTATCTTAAATTGTCGTTACACTTTCAGCACACTGTACTGCTACAACACATTAGTGCTTGGTGTGGCCACAGGGACAACAGACCTGAAAGTTTTAATTCACAGAGGTCACAACACTACAGTGCATTTTTACCATAAAAGATTTATTTGTTGCATCATCCTCATCACCCACTTATGGTACAGAATCACATGTTGGTGTGTTTGTACATGTTTTTGTTATACATATAGTAAGTCAGTGTTAAATGTATCAGATGGTTTGAACATAACCCATCTGGAGCTTTTTACACACTCTGGACAACACACAGATTTTACATTGACATTGGTCATTTGAAAGCTCTGAAATCACACACTAACTGACATGAACATTAAAAGTGATACAACAAAACAGAGCTGGGGACTCACTCTAGCTATTGAGGACACTCTGTTCGAGAGGCAATATACAGTTCCAAGTTGTGTAGTTTTTCAGCTTGAGAGCGTAGCTTTTGTATATGAAATATCTTGCAATGCTGTAAACAGTTTATCGCTGAACAGCTGAAAATGTTTGCTGTATTAGTTTCAGCAAGTAAAGAATTCATTTTTCAAAATAGTGAGTAAAAAGATTGATTCAAAAAAGATAATAATTTGAGATAATAATGATTTATTGTTGTTTATCGACCTCGTATAGGTACTGTATTTAATGGCCTTTGTGTACAATATAGTAGGCTATCAAACTTCATGTGATTAAATTTTTTCTCTTTTTCCCTGGTTCCTCCTGCCAGACTCCAGCTGCCTCAGCACGGTGGTATCGGAGGCCTTTGTGCGTTTCTTCGTGGAGATGGTGGGTCACTACTCCCTCTTTATGGGCGGAGCAGAGCGCGAGGATGAGTCTGTGTCCTCCCCCACCTTGCCCAGCCCCTCTTCTGCTGCCTCCTCATCCTTTCAGCGTGAGGCCTTTCGCAAAGCGGTCACTTCCAAGAGCTTGAGAAGGTTTCTGGAGGTGTTCATGGAGACACAGATGTTCACCGGCTTCATCCAGGAGAGGGAGCTGCGCAGGCAGGGTCTCAGAGGTACTGAGATTTGATTACCGGCAATTGTGTTAAAGTACAGTACAGTACACCATTAAACTAGATGTGCTAGTTGAACATATATACCAACTGTATGTGCATATGAAAAAATATATTAAAGTCCTATTTAATTAGTTTAAATTAGTATTTTTGCTAAGGGACTGTGAGTGTTTTTTTTTTCTAGAGAATACAGGAAATTTTCCTAGTGACCTCAAAGAAATGTTACGCTAATTGAGATATGTCCAAATGACTTTAATTGTTCCTCAGCGTCTAACATTTTTCAAAGCATGTAATTATAGTTGAGAAGACAACCTCCACTCAAAGTCTGCTTACTCAGTTCTTGGAGCTTTTGACCTTTTCACATGGACAACGCAGAGGATGAATTTTGCCTAATTGTCATGTTCAAGCTTTTATTATTCAGAGAGCTTAGAATAATGTAAAGTAAACTGCTGATCAGGACCATGTGATTCAATTCAATTCAACTGAACTTTATTTGTCCCTGTAACGGCAAATGTAGGCAGCAGCTCAGCACCCAGATCAATAGAAATACACACAATAGGTAGATAAAAGAAGATTACTATTAATCACAAAACTAAAAAAAATCAAAGAAATCTCACTCGAATTTTCAATTTTAATGGTCAGTATATTTATTATTTATTTTAAATCTAGTGGTGGTGAGGAGTCTCTTTAAAACATTTGACTATAAATATTTGACTTGTTTTGTTTCCAGGTCTGTTTGAGGTGAGAGCACAAGAGTATCTGGATTCGCTGCCTGGAAGCGAACAACGAGGAGTCAACAAGTTCCTCAAGGGCCTAGGTGAGATTTACTGTGCATCTTCCATCAGTCAATCAATCAGTCAATCAATCAATCAATCAAGCAAGCAATCAATCAATCAATCAATCAATCAATCAATCATTCAATCAATCAATCAATCAATCAAGCAATCAAGCAAACAAACAAACAAGCAATCAGTTAATCAGTTAAGAGACTTTAAAAACTGCACTTTTGTTAAATGTTTTTACATGTTTTTTTAAGTGTGATTTGCATCTGTTGCTTTTTTCAGGAAACAAGATGAAATTCCTTTCCAAGAAATGATGCTTGGAGTCAGGATGTTGTCTGTAAAAGCATCACGAAGAGGTGTGCAGTAAAAAAAAAAAAAGGAAGAGAAGAGAGGAACATGCTCCCTGGGCGTGGAGAACGTGGAACAAAGGAAGTGAACTGGATTCGCAGTTTAACATGAGGGAATCTGTGGAAAGTTAGGGTTTAGCTCCCAGCTTCATTAGCCAGTCATTCCATTAGTGTTGTGAAGGGTTCACTCACTCAGCTCGGACCAAAACTCACTTACAACACGATGAATCAATGTCTAACGGTGTCTAGTTTCACAGTTCCCAAGGTTTTGATGTGTTAAAGTCAATCTCTACGGTGTGTTACTGTATAGCACAGCACAGTGTAAATGTTTTTAGGAACAGTGTTCTCCGTTTTTCGCTCACTGACTTCACCTGTAAACCTGTAAGGAGGAGTGTCACTGAAGATCAAGTTTTGTACAATACCTTCTCATACATTCCAAGTATTTTCTATAGAAGCTTTTATAAATGCAATAGTACAACTTCTTCTTCAACAGGAGGCTTTTAAGTTAATTTATATTCTTTTTAGACGAACTTAATCTCTTTTTAAAATTTCCTTTAAATGAGCGCAAAGAAATCTCCTGTAATTTGTAATAGACTTTATTTAACAGAGTCTAGTCCAGACTGTTTGTAGACCACTTTGGGTTGTTGGGTATATGTACCACTGTTTTAAGTAAGTGACCTTTTATTGGAAAAGGACAGAGGACCAAAAAGAAGACTGAGGAAAATGTAAAGACAAGAAAAAAAGAACAATGTGAATATGTGTCTCACTTGGGTTTCAGTAGTTGAAGTTGATGTTGAAGAATGATGTGTATCTTAGGTCAATCAGTATCAATGTGTTTCACAAAAGCGACTAGATCTGCCTTAAACTTGATTGAGAATGCAATAAAACTTTATTAATAAAGTGATTTGAATTAGACAAATGACTCATCATTTTTTTCATACAGTGTATTTTGTCAACTATGTTGCTTTTGCTGTTTCTGGTGAGCAAGTGTGTTTACTTCTTGTTTTACCATTGTGATAAAACTATCTATTCCTTACCTGTGACATATGAAACACACGAGTAGAGAAGAATCATACATTTAGTGAACTGACATCACTAAATAATGTTTGTAAAGTTTGCTAACATCAGCTACAGCAGTTGTAATACCCAAGTCCAGGTCTCGACTGGTCTCGACTTGAACTTGAGCACTGCTGACTCGGACTTGGATTCAGACTCGGACTGGAGAATTACATTCAGACTCAGAAATTGAAGACGAAGACTTCTGTTGTTAATAGTGCATTTGTTAGGCTGTTGTATCACACAGTAAATATACTCTCTTAATGATGCTGACAGCTGTGTCTACTGGGAGTATTGTAGATATTTTGTATTTGTTTATCAGCTCTTTGACTGTGCCGGAGGGAAGCAGACTTGGACTCAGGTAATGGGGACTTGACTTGGACTCAACTTGGACTCTTCTTTGGTGACTTGGACTTGGACTCAGGACTCGACTCGACAACACTGACTGTAGTATTACTACCATGAGCCACAGGTCACATCAGGCCAAGTAAGGCTGCAGCAAGTTACACAGTCTCACTCTGATACATAATGTGGAATTTACAATGTCAGGACACATTAAGCTAATATATATATAGTTACTGTGTGTGTGTGTGTGTGTGTGTGTGTGTGTGTGTGTGTGTGTGTGTGTGTGTGTGTGTGTGTGTGTGTGTGTGTGTGTAAGGTTTGATTGTAGAAACATTATGACCAGGATTTAAATTGCAAAGTTATAACAGGTGATTTGAGATGGGTTACGTTAAAGTTGTTCAGTAGTCAGGGTTACAAACTGGTCAGACCTTATACTTGAAACTGTGATCTGCAGCTTGATGAGTCTCTTCTGCTTACAGGATCATTTTAGCAGTTTGGTACATATTCGCACTTTTATAAAACTGGTGGCCTTGCAAGAGACAGATGAAAAAAGAAAGGTCAAGCTGTTGCAGCAGAGGCAGAGATATAATTAATTTTCATCTTTAGGCTGAGTCAAGCTCCAAAAACACCAGATGCTACGCTTCCCATAATGCAACTCAATCACATCTCAGTGTTGTCTTTCGTTGAGCCTTTTAAAAAAAAAAGGCAGGATTACTGCAGTTATTTCACTTGAGTAATTTCCGTCTCCAGAGCCTCAAAAGACATTATACAACTTTGTACACAGGCAGAGTGTGGGACAAGTGAGATGACTTTGACGTGTAAAATCAGCATGTATGTTTCATAAGCGAGACACTTGAGTCCTTTTCAGCTCCAGGGGGCGCCGTTCCCTGCACTTTGTTTCCTCCTTCTTAAAGTTTCCTCACAGAGAAAATAAGAATAACCCCTGAGTTTATGGTCTCACTGATAAATGAATTACACATAATATAAACTATGAAGTACATGTTTGCATAAGTATTTACTCCCTTTGTTATGACACACCTAAATCATTGGTTTTAGAAGTCACATAATTAGTTTAATGGAGACCACAGGTGATGCAACAGCGCTTTCCAAGTCACTGAATATTGCTTCGAGTACAGTTAAAGTGTCTCAGATCTGTCTTGCTGGACAACCTGACTGTGACCAACCAAATCATCTATGTGAGGACAGTGATTGCTCTTGAACAGGACAGCATGTCCAGCTGGGCGCAGCTGCTAATCTCAATAACTACTGAGTGAAATAAATAAGGTTTAGTGAGACAAATGTGGTACAGTGTCACACAGCTGATTATTTTTGAGAAACAAATGACATTAATTAGTCATTTTAGAAGTCAGGTCATAACTATAGTAAAATTCTTGGACACGTTACCAGTAGAAAAATAACTGTTAACGTTGTGTCCAATAGCATGTAATACCCATAATACCCACTAGAGGAGTCTGTTACCCAGTTTATGTTCTCCTGCACATGTTGCCTCACAGAGTCCAAAGTTCAGAATCACATCTCAGACAATTAGGCCTCCAGGCCTTTAATGACTTTAACAACATGCCCATGTCCAACAGTACGATCGATTGTGTTTTCTCATTTGAGAATGGGTGAAAACTTGGACTGGAAAGAAAGACTGTTACAGCTGGACTCCCCACAAATGTTTCAAAAACTTCACTTTATTTAACTTACACCAAGCTTTAAAGAAAAACACATTACATCTGCTCTTTAAATATGAAATCACCAGACAAGAGGCAACAGGGATGTACTTTAAAAGAGAGCTGTTGAATCACATTCTAAATTTAACAGCATGTGGTGTAGAGGATAAACAAATTAATATCCAATGTGTTATGACATGAAGCTTGGAAAAAGCCATAGAGGCTGTAACATTACACGTGTTTAAAATAATATATATCAACATTAAAGCGTTATTTGCTGGTGTAAAGTGGCATCGGTAAAGAAAGTGGAACCATCCATTGTTCATTACAATTAATAACAATCAAAAAGGAGAGAGTGAAGAACTTTATTGACACATTATGGAAAAATGTAGGCTACTTCACCTCACAGCATTAAAGACAATATGAGACGGCTGATTAAGCATTCACAAACAACATGATTATAAATAAAATAATAATAATTTTAAATATTGCACATGTAGTAAATTAGTTCTGAGTTGATTTGTTAATTAAATGAATCATTTTAGCTCTGGATTTTACTCAGTATATAGTACAGTGTAATCCCCCACACACATAACCACCACCACCACCACCGCCCCTTCCTTTACTTTCCTTTCCTTTTCGGAGCCCTCCTCCCCCCTTCTCCTCCTCCCCCCTTCTCCTCCTCCACCCCACGTCATTACGTGTTGACCGGTCAGACCTGCCTCCCTCCCCTCCCCTCCCCTCTCCTCCCTCCGTCCCCTCTGCTTCCCTCCTTCCCCTCCCCTCCCCTCCTTCTCTCCCTGGGTCTTTTTCTCTGGCTTTTTCCAGGCTTCATGTCATACCACGGCTAATTCCTGAAATTCCTGCCCTCCTCTCGCTTCAAACAAACGGCTTAAGGAAGGAGACGAGGCAGCAGAAAACAAACAAAGAAAAAAAAAGAGAAAAACCCTACAGAGTCCACTCTTCATTTAAAAAAAAAAAAAAAAAAAAAAAAAAATCAAATATTACTCTACCTGCCTGACTGTCTGCTAATAGAGTCTCACCAGGTAAGCTCCTACAAGTGTTTTATTTTTTTATTTTTTGAAAGTGTTGAACTCTTCTGACTTTAACTGCGTGTTCTGTCGGAGTGTAAACTTTGGCTGTTTAATATTGTGGATGTGAAGTCAGGAGCTATTTCACAACGCTTTCTCACTCACTGTCGGAGATAACATTCCTCAAATATCTCACATTTCTTCGCTCGGATTCCTACATTTTTCTCTTTAATTCCACTAGTGGAGTGCGCGGCTCCACTTCCTGTGGCTTCAGCCGGAACTTTTTTCTGTTTTTTGAAGGGGCTCGCGTCATGGTGGTGCAGTCAAACATTAGCGCCTGTCTGGGTAAAGTTTTACACCGGGAAACTGAGATCATTCAAACTGTGTATTTATTAACTCGCCCGTTAAATTCAGGGGTTTTTCCCCCTCTCTCTCTCTCTCTCGTCTGTCAACAAGTGTGAGTAGACTGGAAGTGTCTTTAACACAGCTGTGGTCTGACTGTGATTATTGCCTTTGCGCTGTGGCTGTTTCTCCGTCTGTGACGTGATTTAATTGTCTTATAGATAATTAAAACACCTGCGCTTTAATCGCGCATGTTAGTCTTTAAGGCGAAGTTAGACGCAGCGTGAATGTCCTGCTCTCGAACATGCACTAAACGTACCAACAGATGTGGGACAAGTATCTCAGCCTTTACTTAAGTAAAGGTAGAAATACCACAGTGTAAAAATACTCCATTACAAGTAAAAGTCAGGCACTGGAAATTTTACTGACGTGAAATAGTACCAGCAGAATTAACCAAGTGTGTAAAAGGACTCACTGTGCAGGTAAACGATCTCTGTCAGAGTTACATATTATAATATATACTGTACAGTTATTATTGCTGCATTAATATGTGAGCAGTATTGCAATATTGTAGGCGGCAT